GAATGCCGACGGGTTGTCAAGACAAACTGACCTGGAGAAATGATCCGTGAGTCCCCGGACATCCCCAAGCCGATCCGTGTTGGATCAGACTGTGTATGCCGGCTTGTGGGCAAGGGGGAGCAGTGTAGCAGATGGCACTGGGCTGTCCTGCAAATGTCTGTAAAAGAAATGCATTCGTGTGATCTGTTAGTTTCCTATGTGTTCTAAAGCCTTGTATTCTTGTGATTGTTCGGTAGTTTCGTTCCCTTAGTTTATTCGAATGAAACTACCGAACAACCAGACCTCCCCTGTGTGAAGTGTGTCCTCAATTACCCGTTGCAACATTGTTGCGAACGGGTAATTGAACAGTAAGTAGCCGTCCTTTGTTCTCGGGGGTGGCCGCCATTCGACAAACGAACACGTGGCGGCGGCCATTTTAAAACTCCCGAACAGCGGTGTTTAGCCGTCGAGTGTCTGGAACTAAAATCGGACACTCGAGTAGGCGAACACCGCTGAGACCTCCACAGCCCTGGTCCGTTCGGTTCCAAACTACCGAACGGCCCCTCGTTCGGTAGATAGAAAATACCGAACGAGGGGATTCAGGCGAACCCTCCCTAGCCTCTATAGCTAGAGGTTTTCGTGTATTTTATTCCCTTATGCCAGGACCGACCGCAGGGCCCATTCACATGGAACCGAATTCGGCTATCTCAGTTCGTGCGGTCGGTCATTTTATTCCCTCCATACTTTTCCCGAACCCCTGGTCTGATCTGGGTGGTTTTTGGATATGTTGTTCACCCAGATCAGGGCTACCAGGGGATGTAGGATTTAAAGAGGTACCCCTACGTTTAGGGGTACATCCAGAAACGGGGGGAATTGGTGTACTGGATAAGGGGATTATGATGCTGGCTGAGGGGAGGAGATGTGTGGGAGGTTACCAGGACAGGATTGGCTACTGTAATAATTACTGTAATCCCTCCCTTGCATGGGAGCATGCTTTATAAGGAGACTGTGATTAAAGGCTTGTCAGTTCTGCTCCTGAAACTGTGTGTCGTCCAGTTATTGGGATTGCTGTGGGGAGGTTGCTGTTATTTTACCTGCTGGAAACTTTGCCTATGGATTTATTATTTACTTGTTCCTGAGCCTCACTTGGATTATAAGCGGAGACAACCTGGGGAATATTGCATCTCCGCTACATACAGCTTGGCTCTTTCCTCTGCAAAAGTTAATTACTTAATACCCTCATAACCACACTCTCCCGCGAACCCAAACGGCTATTTCACACATTTAACTCTTCTTCTCCCTGCTGTTCCTCCTCCACCTACTAACTTAACCGCCTCAGACTTTGCAACTCACTTCACTGACAAGATATCTACAATCAGAGAATAGATCTCTAATTTTTCTTCTTTCCCTTACAATACTTCCCCTAACTTCACTCCCTCTGCTGTTCTATGTTCATTCACACCCGCTACATTGGAAGAGGTTTCTGCTCTGCTCCAGTCCTCCCGCCCCACCACCTGCTCCCTAGATCCAATTCCCTTGCATCTCATCCGTACTCTGTCTTCTTCTCTTTCTCCAGCTCTCACTAAAATTCTCAATCTCTCTCTCTCCTCTGGTATATTTCCATCACCCTTCAAACATGCAACTGTAACCCCAATTCTAAAGAAGCCCAATCTTGACCCTAACTCCCCATCCAACTATCGTCCTATCTCACTACTGCCTTTTGTATCCAAGATCCATGAAAGAATTGTGTATGCGAGATTGACAGACTTCCTCAAGTCCAACTCTCTGCTTGACTCGCTTCAGTCTGGTTTCTGCGCTAAGCACTCTGTGGAAACGGCACTGACCAAAATATCCAATGATCTACTCGCTGCAAAATCTCGTGGTCACTACTCTATCCTAATTCTCCTTGACCTGTTTGCAGCTTTTGACACTGTTGATCATCAACAGCTTCTTCTCATCCTCCGCAATATCGGTCTACAAGATATTGATCTCTCCTGGTGCTCCTCCTACCTCTCCCAGCGCTCTTTCAGTATTTCTTTCTCTGGCTCTGCTTCTTCTCCCCAACTCCTCTCTGTTGGTGTCCCCCAAGGTTCAGTCTTTGGTCCCCTACTGTTCTCCATCTATACTCCCTCCCTTGGTAAACTCATTAGCTCCTTTGGCTTCCAATATCATTTATATGCAGATAACATGCAAATCTACCTGTCCTCTCCTGATCTCTCCCCATCCCTCTTGACTAGTGTATCTGACTGCCTCTCTCCTATTTCTAACTGGATGGCTGCCCACTTCCTTAAACTAAATTTTACCAAAAGTGAAATTCTGGTCTTTCCTCCCTCAAGTGTTGTTACTCCTGTGTCTGTCTCCCTCCAAGTCAACGGTGCTACCATCAGCTCCACCACGCAGGCTCGCTGCCTAGGGGTTCTCTTTGACTCCGACCTCTCCTTCAAGCCTTATGTTCAATCTATCGCCAAATCCTGTCATTTCCATCTCAAAAATATTGCGCACATCCGTCCCTACTTAACACCAGATGAGACTAAGGTGTTTGTCCATTCCACTGTCCTTTCTCACCTTGACTACTGTAATCCGCTTCTTAGTGGTCTTACGTGCTCCCAACTCGCACCATTACAGTCCATAATGAATGCGACGGCAAGGTTCATCTTCCTGTCCGCCCGCACCTCCCATGCCTCACCTTTCTGTCAGTCCCTACATTGGCTTCCTATAAAATATAGAGCTCACTTTAACATTCTAGTTCTTCAAATCTCTACATAATGCTGCTCCCACTTATCTATCTTCCCTTATACACAAGTATGTCCCATCTAGGCCCTTACGATCTGCTGAAGACTTACGTCTATCTTCTGTCCGTACTTCCACCTCTGATGCTCGCCTTCAAGATTTCTTGAGGGCTGCACCATTCCTGTGGAACTCGCTTCCCTCCTCCATTAGATGCTCACCCAGTCTCCACTCCTTCAAAAAATCGTTAAAAACCCACTTCTTCATAAAAGCGTATCAATTAAACTGTTAATAGCTCCTCACTGATTCCTCTTCTGCAACTGTCACTAGTCTAATACTATCCTTACCTTTCTGTGTCATTTTACCCCACTCCCTCTAGCATGTAAGCTCATTGAGCAGGGCCCTCAACCCCTCTGTTCCTGTGTGTCCAACTTGTCTGGTAACAACTACATGTCTGTTCATCCACCCATTGTAAAGCGCTGCGGAATTTGAGGGCACTATATAAATATCACAATAATAATAATAGTGTTGCTCTTAATTGTATATATATAAAAAAAAATTAGATTTTTTGATTTTGTGTTAATTTTCTATCATGTGCAGTGATTTCCTGGATTTGGCTATATACATAATATCAATTAGAATATCTATGTTAGATATCCCTCACGATATCTTGTATCCAATATGTAGCTCTAATGCATTTATATGTGGCCACCTCTCTGTGCCACTTAGTGGTGCTTATCTTTGTCTACCGTTGCAGGTTCTTTCTGGTTTACGGACTCTTAGCAACCGACTCTGATATTTCCATGCCCTCTGATGGCTTTAGACTCTGCTCTCATCTGTCTTTTGTGCTTCATTTTACCCACAAGTCATCTTGGGTGTAGAGAGTGTTGTGTTTATGTTTTATCACACTATCTTTTCAGAGTCTGGTCTTGTCACTTTTCATGTGCAGGTCACATTACTAATCTACACTTTGAAAATTTCATCAGGCACCATGCTTGCTTTATTATTTTCTTCATATCTGTACTTTGTTTCTTTCTTCATTTATGGTGGTGGAATCCTACTGTCTCTTAAAAAATTTATGTGTTTTATTTTGATACACCGAGCCTCACCCTTATGGTGTTCCTGGATTGGGTATTTAGGTGTGGTGCACTTTTTAACTTAGTCTCCTCTGGAACTGAAACATCAAAGCATATGTATCTGATATCCTGCTAATGAATTAAATAAATGAGCAAAGAGTTTCTGATAACAAATCCCTCGAGTGGACCTCTTCTTGTTTTTGCTTATATATCATATAAACATATACTGTATCTAGAAGGCGCAATACACACTTATTGTCAGGGTAGGTGCTGCTAGTAGACAGGTGCCTATAGTTATGTCATCTATACATATTGGAAAGTCAATTTGGTTTTTTTGTGGACTATTTTGCTAGGCCTTCCCTACTTACTATAGGGTCCAGGAAAGCCTCATGATTTTTGTTTTTAGGTCCCCTGGTCACAGCTCCGTCAGAATTAACAAAGTACCCTACCCTCTCCCACCAACATTTTTGTAGTGTTTCAAGTTTCCTCCAACACCATCACAGTAAACATGCGCTGTTCTCCATTGTTAAAATTGTGAAATTGGTGATGTTGTGATGGTAGGTAACAAGAATTGGGCGGGTTTAATAGGTTCTCTAAAACAGCAATTACATTATCACTGTTGTTTACTAACGTAAGAAGATATCCCAGATATGAAATTCACTTTGAATTCTCACTTTAGAGTATAAAACTGTAACTATCTAAACAACAAGTGACATTGAGCTTTCTATTGTTTTTCTGCGGCTCTGTTTGCCCACTGCGAAGATGCTGCTTATCAAATGGACGCGCATAATTGCAAGCAGAAAACGTAATAATTGCTCATTTTCACAACAGACGACTAATACATTTTATGTTTCAAAAACAAAACGGAGAACAATAATCGGAATAACATTAGTTTTATTACCGTCATAGCTGGATAGATTGGTTCCAAAAATACTTTGAATGCCGTTGTTAAAGCCAATTATCTAAAAAAATAAACCCTCTTGAGTGTTAAACATAAATAGCCAACACTTAAATCCCCCCATTACAGGATTATACAGCAGGTCTCCTACTTTAAAACAAACATCTAACAGTCATTATAGAAAGGATCATTTTCTCCCTGCATAATTCAAGTGCTTTTTTTTTTTTTTTCCTTCTTCTAATTTACTCCTCCCCTTCTTGTTTGTAAAGCCAGCATCTGGCTACTGGAGGAATATTGACAGATTATGATTCAAGCTATGACACAATTAATGACACAGCTAGATTCTGAACCTATAAAAGAAGACAATGTATATGGAGAGAATCATTGTGTCTCTGGAGTTTATATTGTCAATCCCGCTGTGCATCTGACGGCAGAACAAACACTACTAATAGTAAGTATTCTTTTAAAACCCTTTAACAAATTAAAGCTCTTCTAATGATATTGTTTATTACTGTTTTTATTTATTTATTTTTTGCTGTTATAAATACATTGCCTTTTAGACGCATTTAAAAAAATATATTTTATTTAAAATTAAATTTAATCGTGGCTAGAATTTGAAAAATAAATATTTAAAAATATTTGAACCGGTTCATATGACACACAGAGGTTAGTATTCAATATTTGACATTTTCCATAGGCTATTTCTTATCTATGTACATATTTATTATTAGTAAAAACAAGGAAAAGTGGCTCTACCTGTAAGTATTGTTAACTGATAGCTGTTAATATAAAAGTTTTTTAGTATTATTTAATTTTTTAGTTCTGTAGAATGGAGTAAGAAGTGCTTTTGTAGTAGTTCCCAAAATAAATCTATTTGTTACAACAAAAAGGCTTCTCTATTACAATGCTCTATCTATAATATTGAGTCCAGCATTAAAAAGAATTGAGGAAGCTATGTAAAATTGATTTGTGATTTTTATTTAAAACCATATACTATATAAATGTTATTTAACCCTTTAAGTGCCTGAACCTATATTATCTCATTAGAAAGCACTCAAAGGGCTACTGTTTGAGTATTGGTGAATATACCTAGTTTACGTTCTGTATTAATGCGTATTATATTACCCATATTGATAAGTACATTGTACTAAGGTGATAATACATTTCCCATGCTACTGAGTATTTCAAAGTTCACAATTCACATGCCTGACTCATTCAATCCTGTGTATTCAGATATCAACGTGATTAACAACTGTTTGCTCAACATTGCTAACATTTCCCTATTTAATATGTTCACAATGACCCTGTTAAAAGGACATTTAATAAAAAACACAAGTATACCACCATTTTATTAATCTAAAAATTACTTTTCACTAAAGTGCAAATGATTAAAATTGTTGTCGGCTCTTAGAGCATAATTAAAAACATATCTGAAGAATTCTACCAATGTCGCTATTCTGGCATACAATTTTAAATTTACTTTGCATTTACTTGGGATTTCTGACAATTTACACTCAATAAATAACAATAACTTTGTTAGTTTAAATGGTACATAATTAACCCTAACTATTGTATAATATGCTAGGAAAATAATGACTGTAAATGAGCCCTAAAAGAAGAAATAACCAAAAAGAACACTGACAATCGGGTCTAACGGATGATCTGTGTCCCATCTGTGTGCTGGTATTAAGAACTTTTTACATATGTTATATATTCCTATTAACATAACAGGTGATAATACACCACCTGTTTAGTTAACTCGGGGATGGAAATCAGCTATTTACATGAATTTCTAAAAGTTATCTTTGCCGGATGACTGCCAACTGTCTCAGATCTGCTGGACCAGTCCCAATTTCGGAACACTGTCCAGGTTTTTATTTTATTTTTTTAAACTTTTTGTGAAACCATAAAAAAGTCCCCAGAAAATACAGCACAAGCTCAACATTAGTTACACTCATGGTTGGCTCAGGCTGTTCTGCGGTATTTCTTCCCTTAAATGAGAGCAATTTGAGAGAGTACTTTGCATGAGTAGCCCTGGCAGGCTTACAAAACTGCATGTCAACAATGTATGAATTCATGTCCGTCAAGATAACATGTCTCCTGTCTTGCTGCCGCACATCACTAGTTATAGTTGCTGCATTAATCGCATCCCTCCTCGCTAGCCCTATGACGTACTATCCCTCCCTGTGCTAAGGAGCACTAAATATATATTTTTTGTGCCTGTACATTTGCAAGCTGTTTGGATTGAACACTGAAAATGTGCATCACTACCATATGGTGCTCTGTTATATTTGTCTTGTACGTAGCACTGTGCACATGACATTTCACATAGACTAAAATAAGAAGTGGTTGTGGTCCTGGTATTGTAACTTGTAGCACTATCTCCCCTAAAATATGTCCTTGCATTGTGCACGTGTTTTACTGTAAAAACGAATTAAAAAGTCATCATTTGGCGTCTGCAAATATATTGTTTGCATACAGGTCAGACAATCATTTGTTTAGAGTCAGCCAGTTCAAACACCAGTTCATCCCAGCTGAATCTAAAACGTACACATGTTGCCACTATAAAAAAACATATTGTTAATACTAAAATGAAAGTTTTTAAAATGACATTCTCATATGTCAACACATTAAGTATTCATACTGGCGAATTGTCAAATTTTTTATATGACTTTACAAATATGTATTTATTCTACAGCACTTTACATCCATAAGGAATGTTATAATACAGTAATTAAAAAAAATATGTGTATTGAAAATGTTTTAGTATACATTGAGTACATTTTGTTATATGTCCTCGCGTGTATTTTATATGTCTTGTTTCTTGTTTTGTTTATTCTTATAGAAATGGTTAGTGTTGTAAGCGCTCAACTGTGAGGGTTTCATGCTAAGCACAAATAATTTATACTGGGTGCTAAATGGCACAATCCTACCACCTAATTAAGATAATAAGTAAACCATAGCACACAATATTCATTGTAAAACATTTAAGAAAAATCAACATTAATAAAGCTCATTGTATGAGTATAATATCGCCTCTGTGTATAATAACATATCCAAATTTATACAATATGAATACTGTGACAGACCACCCTGTCACTGGAATACTTTGTTCTCTTTTATTCCCTGTTTTGTTTGGTTAAAAATACTTTTTCCCTGTTTTGTTTGGTAACTGAACAAAACCACGAAATACCCAGACCACCGGTATGCTTATTAACCTCATTCACCCCTGTTAACACTTCAATAATGATTCACACCTCACTGTTCAAAACTGTCGGCTGGGTGGCCTACGTTCGTATATGGACGAATACATGGTGGCAGCCATCTTGTTTATGCGAACGCAGGCAGCGGTGTTTGGTCGTCAAGTGTAAGGAACTAAAATCAGAAACTAGTCCTCGTGAACACCGCTGAACTTCCATTCCCGCCTGCGTTTGTTTCTCCTGGAACACTGTTCGGTGGAATTATCCCCACGAATGAGGTGAACACCATCTGCATACCGGCTCAAGCCGGTCAGTAGTTTATTTGTTTTGTACTCCCGAAAGAGACTGACTGGTACCGTTGATTCTATGGAACTATTTTGGGCAGGAGCCTCGTGACAAAACTTTGCCCTGGTGGCATTTCGGCTGTATTCGCTTGATCTGAGTGCTTCTCGGTTATGTTGTGCCCTCCGATCCAGGCAATCCGGGGATATAAGACTTGAGGAGGTACATGGTTGTTTTATGTATGTTTTGGGGTGTCATATAAATTGTAGATTTGTACCTGAGAGATAATTTAATTATATGTTTTTCCCTGTGGTAATGATCTCTCAGGTACAGAGGACCATGGGAAGGATTACCCTGTAGTGTTGTGTTGGAAACCCCATAAATGAGCTTTTGCATAAAAGGTTGTGTGTGGCCCTGAATAAAACAGTTAACTCCCAGCATTCAGTCTCGACTAATGTCTGTAGGGGAAAGCTATACCTGCTTTAGATTATTACTACTTGGGGAATTCTACTTTTTATTGCTACTATTATTGGAATTGCTGCAGCAGAGTTCTGGAAGGAGGGAAAAAAGACATCTTTGGCAGCGAAACCCATGTTCCTATCCGGGTGGCCACCACAAATACATATGCAAACAAGATCAAATATGTATATGCCATAAACACAAATGTTATCTCAAGTTCACTGAAAAAGAGAGTGGAGACCACAACCCCAACCCCAACATTTCAGCCTGATCTTGAGAAAGGCATTGGAGCGCACTTGTGAATCTGTTCAGGGTTTTGATACCATCTGGAGATAGGCCTAAAGTTTGTTTTCTGGATTTTAGACTTATGAGCCAGAATGAACATTGTCTCCCAGAAACAATGCAGAGAAGTAGACCCTTGGACAGAGACACACACAATTAAAACTTCTGATTTGTCCAGGTTTAACTGGAAATTGAGATTGCACAAAACTCTGAGAATGCATCTTACATATTAGGTAGTGATATCTGAGGTTGGTCAAAGGCAAATAATAAATTGTTGGCATATGTGAAGCACATCAAACACCCTGGTTTTGTCATCCTTTGCCTCTCTACCCAGGAGAAAGCCTGTTTGATCCAAGCTAGTACCTTGCAAAAAAAATGAGATCCACGTTGAGTAAAGAGTCAATAACTTTGGCACTGCTCAGGATCCTTCCCTTCCTTGGGGATTATGGCTATAGTAGTCATGAGGGAGGCTCTATGAAAACCTACCCCTGGAGGATAGAGTTAAAGCTCAGGAGCATACGTGGGTAAAGTACTTCCCCATCTGGGTGTAGTGTCTCACCCCTGGTCTTCCTGTAGACTTTGTGTACACGACACAGTTGTTGTTTCTTTCTGAGCATTCTCGCAAGGAGGCACCATATTTGGTGGAATACACGTAAAATAAACAACTAGACTTTCATAAAACCAGCAAGTGTTTCTGCACCAAATGTTTGTTCAAAAGCCTGCGCATGTTCAGGAGGGCTCTATGATCCTCCTCTGATGAGGAGGCCTTATGTATCTTCTCCAAAGAGTATATCTGAGCTTATAACTCCACTACTTGTTACGTCTCCTTTTTTTTTCAAAAAGGTGCATGTCTTAATACAGTGAACTCTGATGGTACACCTATGGACCTTCCACAGAGTTAACAATGATATTTCTCTTACATTGTTTTCTGAAAAATATTGGGAGATGGCTTCCCTAACACTACAAGCGACTTCTGGATCATACAAAACAGAGTCATTTAGCCTCCAATGTCTCTTGAAAAGACAAGGCAAGGGATATGTAAGGCTGGCAGATACCTATAAATTGTCAGACCACATTGCAGATTAACTTTGTCAATGGCTCCTGGGCCATCAAAACAAATTGTACAAAGAGGAGTAATGTGTGTAATCCCTGCCCTCCAGGTATGACATCCTCTAGCAGTCAGCCAGTCAAGCACCCCACAAAGAGCGGCGAATCTTGCGCAGACGATGTGTCAAGTAGCTACATAGCCTTCTGGAGGTATAAAGCTTGGCTTCAAGTATTAAGGCCCCCCAACAAAAAACATCTCCTCTTGTAAGCTATCCAATTTTGATAAAACAGTTCCAAGGAACCTGTCCGTGCCTGAATTGGGGGAGTATATAAAGGTGAAAGTATTTGCATGTAAGGCCAGGATGCCATGAACAAAAATGAATCTTTCGCCTTAATCCACTATTGAAGTAGTGTAACCAAACAGAGTATATTTAGAAAATAATATTGCTACCCTACTTGTTTTAGCTAGAGGATTGTTTGCATAATACATGCAGGATAGTATGAGTCCCCAAGCTTAGGAGCAAACGGCTGCACAAAAATGTGTTGAGAAGGTTATTTTTAATCAAAAAGGATCCGATTCATTCTGTTAGTTTTTATGTAAACTTTGGAGCTTACCTGAGTAGTACGTTTCTGGCAAAGAAGTGGGTGTTAAACAAACATGCAATAATAATGCACTGTAAAATGATATGTGTAATGAAATACTATTACATCAAATACTCCTACATAATTCAACTAACATGAGCTCTTAAAATGAAAACAAGGTAGGACATTATCTATTACCTAATATACACAGAAAGTGAAAGTCAAACATAATATCATATTGCACTTTGCAAGATAATGACACTGAAATGAGAAAAGGAAAGCTTAACGGACCACTATAGGCACCCAGACCACTTCAGCTTAATGAAGTGGTCTGGGTGCCAGCTCCAGCTAGGGTTAACCCTTTTTTTCTATAAACATAGCAGTTTCAGAGAAACTGCTATGTTTATATTAGGGTTAATCCAGTCTCTAGTGGTTGTCTCATTGACAGCCGCTAGAGGCGCTTCTCACTGTGATTTTCACAGTGAGAAGACGCCAGCGTCCATAGGAAAGCATTGAGAATGCTTTCCTATGAGACTGGGTGAATGCGCGCACGGCTCTTGCCACACATGCGCATTCAGCCGATGACGGGGAAAGGAGGAGAGTCCCCAGCGCCGAGGGAGCCCGGCACTGGAGAAAAGTAAGATTTTAACCCCTTCCTCTACAGCCAGCCTGGCGGGAGTGTGACCCTGAGGGTGGGGGCACCCTCAGGGCACTATAGTGCCAGGAAAACAAGTATGTTTTCCTGGCACTATAGTGGTCCTTTAACAATCTACTAAAAATGCTTGTTTCAATAATAGTACTATTAATCTATTTATCTGTTTGACTGTCTCCCTACTTATCTCGGTTGACAAAAAGTATCTTGGTTAACAATACGTTGGGTTCTTAGAGCTGCCATTCCCCAGATTACAAACTTTCCTTACAGTAGTTTTATTCAGCTCAATTTACTAAGCAGAGTAAAGGGCCACCATGGAGCACTCCGCATCTCCTCTCTCACAGAAGCTGTCTTCATTGAGCTAAGCCTGGCCTAGAAGGCTTACCTAAGGAGAACCAATGGAGGCTCCTAAGCAGGAGCGTTCGACTCACATTTCAGCAGAGAGGTGGTGTGAAGTGCTGCCCAGCAGAAACATCGAATGTAATGGCAGATAAGAACCATTCGGTTCTCTGTAATGTCAATGTTTTACATTGCAAAACTAAGTGCAAAAGGGACAATGCGCTGAAGTGGTCTGGGTGCCTACAGTGTTCCTTAAATCTTGACCACTTCAGTTGGAAGGCTATTCCATGCGTCTCTGTAAAGTAATACTTGCTCCTCTAACTCAAGACTATGTCCTTTTGTTGTGGTAGTTTTTCTTCTTTTAAGTATAGTCTCCTCCTTTACCGTGTTAATTCCCTTTATGTATTTAAATGTTTCTGTCATATCCCCCCTGTCTCGTTTTTCCTCCAAGCTATACATGTTAAGATCCACTAACCTTTCCTGGTAAGTTTTACCCTCCAATCCATTAACCAGTTTTGTAGGCCTTTTCTGACCTCTTTCCAAAGTATCAATATCCTACTGGAGATGCAGTCTCCAGGCCATAGATAAAAAGTCATACACTTACTAAATATGTTTGACTACTTACACTAGTTGGGTGGTACCATAACTACTACAGCCCACTGTAGTCATTATGGTGCTTGGAGTGTTTCTTGAATGCTGTAATTAGAGAGATCAGCTCCCTCACACCAAGATCTATTACAAATATTTAAAAAATTAGATTCCTTGGAAACCGGTAGGTGCTCAAAATGGGCCCCAAACATTTTTCCTTTCAGGATGAGGCTAATGATATAATGTAAGAAGGCCATTAGATATCTAGGCTCCTGGCCATAAGTGAATTGGGACTGAGCAGCCTCTGACCCTTTCTGCTGGGCCAAGAGATTGACCAGCTCCAGGTTCCTTTAAAACTTTCAGGCCAGATAGAGCCATTTGAGGTCTGAGCCATCTCTTAGCTCTATTTAGAGAACGCCAGGACACACTGGGTATCTCTTGACTCTCTTATTCAATTATCCTCCAAATAAATGCCCAAAGGGCACATCATTCTTCAACCAACAGCTGCATACTAAATAACATCTTTCAAACAGAAGAATCTATTGTTTATCTCAAAGGCAGCAATTTTGTGCCAGAATATTTGTACATACAAATGAATGTACACATTAGAAAATAGCTTGAGGCTTGTACCTTTAACCTAAGTAAGTAAAACCTCCAAGTTCAGCTAACTGTATTTTGCAATACAAGACAATATTTCACAGGCAATTAATGTACCTGTATAGCATCAGCCATACACACCATCACCAGTATTATATAATATTTACTGGTGTAGTATAATGTGCTACACCAAAAATATTCACATCATCATTAAACATTATACAAACACACTAACAAAACGTTTAGACTTGGTATTGCTTAATTCTGCTATTTATAGAGGTTTCAAAACAAAAAGTCAGCTCACCTCCAAAACACATGCTACAGCAAAACTGGGGAAACTAAATCTGAACCACTGTACTGGCTAAACATCGCAAAATATTTTAGAAACAGTAGAATTACATACAAACATACAGCATAGTGTACAGAACCAGAAACACACACAGAGCCTGTCTGTACTCGCTTCTAAAGCAGTTCAGAGATTAAAGCGATTTTTCCTCTCACTCCTTGCCTTATAGGCGTGGATATAAGAAGGGTGTCTGTTTTTGGGTCACTGTAACCCCACCCCTACATTGCCAGCAAAAGAAAACTTGCAACAGTCTGAAACGTGAGTGTGTACATTCCTAATGAAAACCATGTGGAAATTGTGGAATAGAATTAAACCAGAGCCTCATGGCTATGTTTTAGGGGGAGGAAAAGTCACCTACAGACAAATTATTAGAACCTGCAGTTACATTGTGTTGCAATATTCCTCCTTGAAGTTCTAAGACTGTGCACTGGTTCCAGGGTTACACAGTCAGATATAAGACTAACTCCATGATGTGATCTGGGTGTTTTGCAGCTCACAGAACAGAGTGGGACTAGATTCAACTCCAGGTAGCCAACATGAAGAAATCTTTCAGGAGCCTGTTCAGCACCTCTGGGGATAAAGATAATGCCACATACCAAGGAATGACCCTTCGATCTGACAGCAGCCTCCTGCAGGAGGAAGACCCCCAGCAAATATTCAAGGTAAGTGACCTGTGGTGGCTATCTATGCACACTTGTCAGATCTGTCCTGATTGGGGGTGTTTGCACTAAATTCTAAGTTGTGTTGAGTTGCTAAACTGACAGGGCTATTCAATAAAGTGGGAATTCAAATTCAAGGTCCTAATGCCAAACTGGAAATATTATATAAGTCTGCTATGCTTTCATTTTGGCTTCTCTGGATTTTAATTTAAAATTTACTTGGGATTCTTGCTTTAGTGAACAACCCTGTAAAAAAATAAGATTAAAGGAGCGCTATAGTGCCAGGAAAACAAACTCGTTTTCCTGGCACTGTAGGTTTGTTAGGTCACTCCTTCAGCCAATTACCTTAACCCAGCGCCGGGCTCCCTCGGCGCTAATGACCTCTCCTGCCTCTGCCAACGTCAGCTTCGAATGCGCATGTGTGGCCAGAGCTGTGCGTGCATTCAAACCGCCCATAGGAAAGCATCACTCAAAGCTTTTTCTATGGACATCCAGCGTGTCCTCAATGCGATTTGCGGAAGCGCCTCTAGTGGCTGTCAGGGAGACAGCCACTAGAGGCTGGATTAACCCTCAATGTAAAGATAGCCAATGTAAAGATAGATGTTTACAGCTGCAGAGTTGAAACTAGAGGGACCTGGCACCCAGACCACTTCATTGAGCTGAAGTGGTCCGGGTGCATATAGCGGTCCTGGTAATTCACTACAGTGAGAATTCAAAGTAAATCTAAAATTGAAAGTCTAAATAGTCCAAATGGAAAAATAGTAAACTATGCTCCCTTTGAATACTCACTTTAGTTAATTATGCCTTATTAATACTGCAAAAACAAAAGCTGTCTTTTTCTGCAAAGTCTACTGTCCTTGAATACTTGATGTAGTCTTGTTTAACCCCTTCAGGACGGGTGACGGACGAGGTCCGTCACAGAGGGGAGACCCTTAACGACGGGTGACGGACGGACCTATCGCGGCGATTGCGGGGTTAATGGTGCTCCCGGTATGCCTCTGCATTAGAGGCATACCGGGAGCACCCGGTCAGGCTGCCCAGCACATGTGTTGCGGTCAGAGCGAGCACATGTGCTCTGTATACTTACCTTCCGGCTCCCTGCACTTCCAGGTTCTGTGTGAAGTGCAGGGAGCCGGATCAGTGCTGATCCTGCCCCCTGCTGTTTAAAAAAATAAAGTTTATTTAAAGTCCCCCCCCCCCTTACCCATTTTAATAAAAAATTAACCCCTTCCCTGCCAATTGATCACTGACTACAGTGATCAATTGGCAGGGATTACATTTTACTATGATCTGATTTTTTTTTTAACCCTCAGGGGTTAAATTAAATTAATTAAATTATTTTTTAATTATATATTTAGCTAGCTGGGGTAGGTGGAAGTTAGTGGGGAATTGGGGGATTTGGCGTTAGGCTAACTAGGGGTTAACGTTAAAAAAAGTTTTAAAAGAAACTTTAAAAAGTTAAAAATTAAGCTTAAAAATGTTTTAATAACATTTAAGTAAAAAAAACACACTTTACCTAGTCCAAATAAAAATTAACCCCTTCCCTGCCAGTCGATCACTGCCTACAGCGATCAAATAGAGATCACAGTATTATATTGTGATCTAATTTTTTTTAACCCCTGAGGATTAACTTTTATTTATTTTTTTAACCCTCAGGGGTTCAATTTATTTAATTAATTAATTTAAATATTTTATAACTATATATTTTGCTAGCTGGGGTGGGTGGGAGTTATGGGAAAATGGGGAATTTACTGTTAGTGCTGCGTACTGCTAGTTAGGGGTTAACGGTAAAAAAAAAAACTTAGAAAAATGTTAAATCTGTAAAAAAGTTTTAAGAAAGTTTAGGAAAGTTTAAAAAAAATTTATAAGCAAAACAAAAGTTTAAAAACTAGTTTTTAAAAGTAAAAAAGTTATAAAAAGTAAAAAAATACATTTTAAAAATGCTCATTACCACTACACCTGGAACAAACTAGAGAAAAAATTATCCCACGCCAAGGTTCAAAATATGCCTTTTGAATTACCCCAGGATGTATTTTTTAATAAATAGTATGTGTTTGTGGGGAAGTTTCAATAACCAACCGTCTAAACTACTCCAAATTGGAACATGGACACAGCGTAAAACTTCAAAGTTAGAAAAAAAATGAATGGCTGCGTCTCAAATGTGCCCCTTCAACATCCACATATACCTGGCAAAGGTACATACGGGGGTATTGCTGTACTCAGCCGACATAGCTGAGCAACATATGAAGTATTATACAGTCATAGCACACATAAGGTTTACAAAATATGCTGCGCAAACTCACTTTGTATGTCAAAAAGGCAGAAAAAATGCTTATTACCACTACACTTGGTACAAGCTAGCGGAAAAATGATCCCACGCTAAGGTTCAAAATATACCTTTTGAAATACCCTGGGATGTCTTCTTTAAGAAATGGTATGGCTTTATGGGGAATTTGGATTATATAGCCTGGTAAAATACTCTAAAATGGGACATAGGCACAGCATAAAAATTCAAAGTTTGAAAAAACTGGAATGGCTGTGTCCCAAATGTGCCCCTCCGATGTCCACACATACCTGGCAAAGGTACATACGGGGGTATTGCTGTACTCAGCCGACATAGCTGAGCAACATATGACGTATTATACAGTCATAGTACACATAAGGTTTGCAAAATATGCTGCGCAAACTCACTTTGTATGTCAAAAAGGCAGAAAAAATACTTATTACCACTACACTTGGTACAAGCTAGCGGAAAAATGATCCCACGCTAAGGTTCAAACTATACCTTTTGAAACACCCTGGGGTGTCTACTTTAAGAAATGGTAGGCCTTTGTGGGGTAGTTTGAATTTAAAACCTGCGAAGATGCTTGGAAATTGCACATAGGCCCAGCGTCAAAATTCAAAGTTTGGTAAAAACGGATATGGCTTGGTCTCCTATATGGCACTGTAGCTTCACAAAATAGTGCCAAAGACATTCATTGGGGGTGTATTTTTACTCAAAAGACTTAGCTGAGCATAATAATTTGGGAGGTTTGAACTTAGTGGCACATATGAAATATACAAAACGCCCAGCAAAAATGCAATCCGTATGTAAAAAATGCACAAAATAATTTTTTACCACATACTTTGGCATATATTGGTGAAAAAATGGGGGTATGTTAAGGCACAATATGCACCTTATAAGATACCCTGGAGTGTCTCCTTTTACAAATGGTAGGCCTTTGTGGGGGTTTTTTGAACAGTCAAACTGTTATAATACCCCAAATGGAAGCTAAGGCTCATTAAATCCATCTCTCAAAATTCTACTGTGAATACTGTAAAGGACAGGTCTCCTATATGGCACTGTAGCTTCACGAAATAGTGCCAAAGACATTCATATGGGGTGTCATTTTACTCAGAAGACTTAGCTGAGCATAATTTGGGGGGTTTGAACTTAGTGGCACATATGAAATATACAAAACGCCCAGCAAAAATGCAATCCGTATGTAAAAAATGCACAAAATTATTTTTTACCACATACTTTGGCATATATTGGTGAAAAAATGGGGGCATGTTAAGGCACAATATGCACCTTATAAGATACCCTGGAGTGTCTACTTTTACAAATGGTAGGCCTTTGTGGGGTTTTTTGAACAGTCAAACTGTTATAATACCCCAAATGGAAGCTAAGGCTCATTAAATCCATCTCTCAAAATTCTACTGTGAATACTGAAAAGGACAGGTATCCTATATGGCACTGTAGCTTCACGAAATAGTGCCAAAGACATTCATATGGGGTGTCATTTTACTCAGAAGACTTAGCTGAGCATAATTTGGGGGGTTTGAACTTAGTGGCACATATGAAATATACAAAACGCCCAGCAAAAATGCAATCCGTATGTAAAAAATGCACAAAATTATTTTTTACCCTGGAGTGTCTACTTTTACAAATGGTAGGCCTTTGTGGGGTTTTTTTGAACAGTCAAACTGTTATAATACCCCAAATGGAAGCTAAGGCTCATTAAATCCATCTCTCAAAATTCTACTGTGAATACCGAAAAGGACAGGTATCCTGTATGGCACTGTAACTTCACGAAATAGTGCAAAAGACATACAATGGGGGTGTCATTTTACTCAGCAGATGTAACTGAACACAAAATAAAACTTTGTACAGGAATAGCACACACCAACAAAATATACACGAGAATTTCTCTGTTATAAGTTTGTGTGCCAAAAACCAAAAAGAACACAATTTTACTCCAATATTTAGCAGAGGTTGGCGGTGAAATGGCTACGTAGAAAGTGTCAAAACAACCTTAGGTAAATAGCCCGTGATGTCTACTTTATATAAATATATACTTTTGTGTGGCAATTTTGTTTTCTTTTATGGCTATTAAGCTTACAAGACAAACATACCAAATTCTAAAATCGCTCCACATTAAAATTTTATTTTACTCCTTGTGCTTTGTGACCTGTAACTACCAAAAAAAACTTAAAATCCCAGACACATTATATATTCTGTAAATCAGAACAAATAAATAAATTTATTTTTAATTACTTTCCTTAACCTGCACTAATTATGCACACATTATTATTGCAAAAACTGTAAAAAAAAACAATATTTTTCATTTTTTTTGCATTTTTCTGTATTTTTTTTATAATAAGTAAGCATTTATATATATATATATGTTATATCAAATTAAAGCCCTTTCTGTCCTTTAAAAAACAGTATATAATATGTGTCGGTGCAATAAATGAGAGAGATGCAAATTGCAGTTGAACGCAAACAGCAAGAAAATGCAAAAATTGCTTGTGTCATTAAGCGTAGGTCAAGCTTCTGAAGCTGTGTCCTTAAGGGGTTAATATACTGTTTAGCAAATAAATGTTTTGTATTAATTTCAATCTGTTTAACTCTTGTGACATTGTAAACCTTTGAAACAGGCACCAAATTCAAGACAAGTTTGTGGGTTTTTTTTTTTTTTTTTGCAGAAAATATGCAAATATTATTTCTGAACAGCAATTACAAACAGCTGTAGTGTTTGTTTATTATAAACTAAACACAAAATTCAGTGTGACAGGAACATACAAACTAAACAAGGTTCTTATTTTTTTTATTTACGTCAGTGGGTGCCAGGCAGCCATTGTATTTTATATATAACATGTCCATATTATATCATGGCAGAGCAGACAGCGTCCGTTGGCCCTTGAGCTGTTAACAAATTCTCTTACTTCAATAGTTATCTTAATATCCATTTATGAGAAAGTATAGTAAGTATTAAAACAAACTTAATGGAAGAACTTGAGACACAATTGTTTGGGTATCTACCAGTGCACCAAGGGTTAAATGATAGAGGACGAGTATATTCACAGGGTGGCGGTGTTTAAATCCGCCAAACATGAAGCAATAATCAGGAATGTACAGAGATAGCCCTTTAACACCCGATGGATAATAATGGGAAAAAACTACCGTTGGGTTAAGACATTTGTATCTTATTTTTTCACTTAGATCCATAGTATAACAAATTTCATAATAGCCAGAGCCATAGTCATAGGTTTAATCATAGACAAAGGCAAATTAGAAGGTGGTTTCTGTTTTTAAAGGGATATTTCAGAAATAGGATTGGTTGAAAACAGAAACAATCATAGGGACTCTATATGCACCAAATCAACATTCACTTAAATGGACACTCCAGGCACCAAAACAACTTCATTTAAAGGTTGTTATGGTGCCAGGAAGCCCCCGGGACAAGGCTCCTGAATTCGAGAACAGTCAGCTGACACTCTCAGCCAATCAGCCCCATTCACTAAACTAGCTTAGAGAAGGTACATTTGTTTCCAAGCCAGTTTAGTGAATGGGGAGTCACTGATTGGAGGCAATTTTGGGGTTAAACCGTTCGAGAAAGGTTTGAGATAAGAGTGCCTCTGTGGACCTCCTCACACCATAACAACTTAATTTAGAAGAAGTTGTTTTGGTGCCTGGCGTGTCCTTTTAATGAAGCAGTTTTGGTGTATAAATCATGTCCCTATAGTCTCAATAGTAATTTTCTGCCATTTAGGAGTTAAAACACTTTGTTAATACAGCCCCAGCCATACTTCCCTATATGTTACTTACACAGCCTTCCCAAACATTTTTCTAAAGAAAGCTATAATGTCTAAAACTTCATTATTGCTCTGTTAATAGCCTTCTAGACCCTGCAGGAACTTTCTGTGTGTGATTAAAGTTCAATTTACAGAGCAGGAATAAAAAAAAAACTTATAAAGCAAGTTTGATTGAAAATGAATCAATTTTTTCATGCAGGCTGTGTGCGTCACAGCCAGGGGAGGAGTGGCATTGGCTGCGTAAACAGAAACAAAAGTGATTTAAATTGAGCAGTGAGACTGCAGGGACACGATCTATGCACTAAAACTGCTTCATTAAAGGGTTTCTCCAAACATTTTTTTGTATGAAATAGAAAAATGCCCTACCAGCGTTATTCTATATGTCCCCCCATAATAATTGTTCAAAGAAGATTTAATTACCGCAATCCAACTTCAGTTGAAGCTCCCGGCGCTGCTTGGTGCACCACCATGTAATATCACAGGAGCAACACCAAGGTCCAATCAAAATCTTCTCATAAAAAAGCCTTTGATTGGAGAATTTAACAAGGGGAGGGCAGTGGATCAAGAAAATATTGGATTGGATTGGGAAGAGAGAGAGGGGATAATAGCTTCTGCAAGGGGAATAGAACGATATAAGCATTGAATGTATTGATAAATAAGTAGTGTGGTAAAATAGTTGGCAATTTTTTTTACATTAGGCAGCCCCAAACAGTGTTCTGGGCTACCTAAAAGAGTTTTGGCTTCTTAAGTCACGTGTGCTGGTTGTGCAACTTGCCCTGGCACAAAATGTAAATGATCTCTGTTGAAACTCTGAACATCCAAACTCCAATCTGAAACACTGCACTTTCAACCTTCTACCACCATGACCACTTCAATAAGCAGAGGTGGTCACAGTAGTTGGAGTAAACCTTTAAGCTTAAGTTGATGTGATGCCCATTACTGCAGATGAATACCTGCCGTGCCTATAGTGTCCCTTTAAAAAAGACAACATACCTTAACCTACCTGTGAGTTTTACTAATAATAGTATTCATGGGGATTTTAAGGGTTGTGGTGTCAAGAGCCATCAGTTTTTTTCTGGTCAGTTAGTTAGTATTTCCATGACTGTCCTAATCAGAAAATAATAAATAAAAAAATAAAAAATTTCATTAAATTCTTTATTTTTGTAGAGCATAAAGATGAATACAGACAAGCCTACAATGCCCCAACAGCAATAGCAGGCATTTTAAAATACACATTTCGAAATAACAGCACTAATTTTATGGTAGGCTAGGCACATATGTCTAAAACATTGGCTTAAACCTAGCGGGTAGACACAGAGATTGGTATCAGAAAAGAAATAGTATAATAAAATATGCTTAATTACTCAGTGTAGCTATGTTTGGTTAATGTTGAGTGAAGAAGTGTGTACCAGCTCTATCATAGTTAAAGGGAGCTTAAAACCCAAAATTAGTTGTGAGCTACGCTGCTGAAATAACTAGAGATAGGTATTGCACCCAAAAGGTCCCTGATGAGATAGGAGAGGCCAGAGTATCTGAGACCTGTCAGTCCCAAAGTTTAAAGGGAAACTTTAGTGCCAGGAAAACAAACTTGTTTTCCATGCACTATAGCTTCACCCTCCGTCGAGGCCCCCTCCCCCCACTGTCGTGCAGAAGGGGTTAAAAACCCCTTCTGTAGCTTACCTGGGTCCAGCGCTGAGGTCCCTGGCTCGGGTCCTCCTTCACTCTTCGCATGCCGACAGCATCAATGGCCATGCTCGCTTTAGGATTATCCCATATGAAAGCATTATTTAATGCATAGCATGTGGACGTCCAGTGTCATTTAGGCGACCAAAAGTCGCTTAATCACCCGGAAGTGGTGGCTGTCTGGTTGAAGTAACGGGACCTGTTGTCTGATTGAAAGCCAGAGGGGTGTAACAAGGATAATTTATAAAAGTTTAAATCGCTACTGAAATCTGCACTTGAAATATGAAAATACCAATTAAATAGTACACACGTTTCACACATAAAGCTTTTCAACAAGCAAAAGCTTTAGGGGTCTGGAGTTTCCCTTTAAGAAACATAATAGTTGATTTTGCATGTTTTACTAAAAGTTGCAATTTCAAGAGCTGTGTTGTGCCATCTGGGTGCATACCATCTGGCCCTGGAGCTTTGTTTAGATTAATGAAAAGCAGTTTGTCATATTCCATCCAATCGCTTGTTTGCTTATTCAATTTTTATATCAGCGAATTGCATGTCTACCACTATAGGTTATCTTTGCTTTATACAAAAAGGTAAGTCCTGCGCTCACTCCCATCACTACTGGGCCGCAGCAATGACTACAGAACACATCAGCCCCAATATATAGTAAAAACCAAAGAAAAGAAAAAGTTACTTGCGCAGGTAGTCATTGCTGCCGGCCCAGTAGTGATGGGAGTGAGTGTAGGACTTATCTTTTTGTATTTGTATTTACTTTGTATCACACAGCCTTGTTACAATGCTGCCTCCTATCCCATGTGTTCTCTATTAAGGGTTAATAAGTATATAAGGGCGTATATAAAAAATACCCCTCTGTCTCATTAGAGATATCTTTGCCAGAAGCTCAAGGAAGCAGGCTGAAGGGTCAGTGTTAGGACCCGCATTAGGGGGGTCTGCCTTGACGTTTGGCAGGCGGGCATTCCCTCCAACTAAATGTCATTGTCTAAATATACATAAGGATTAAGGAGAGAACACAGGTAACTTTTTCTTTTCTTATCTTTGCTTTATACTGACAAAAAAAAGCTTCTGCCTTTTCCTGATCCTCCTTTACTCACACACCCTTCTCTGACTTCCATTTTCCAACAGTTTGGCTTGAGATTTTTAAGAACAATCGAGAGCAACTGTGCAGCTTGTACTATTAATAAAGTGTGACATTAGTCCAGAGTTCTAGATGTGTTGCAGTTACTGTGGAAACAACTGAATGACTGCTCATTTTGGTAATTTGGTCCATTACAACTTTGACCAAGGATCGCTCATTGTGCAGAGGTAAAGGTTGCTAATCACATGCTTCATTATGTCCAAGCTCTAATGAAAACTAATAAGGTGTTTATTTACATCCAGCTTATTGCAGAAGGGAATCTTTGCCGCATTCGAAGCTTTATATTGAAGAATCCTACATGTTTGACTGTCAAGGATGACTCTGATGCTACTCCTCTCCATTACGCTGCAAAACATGCTTTATTGGAGCTGATATTGATGATTATCAATGAAGGGACAGAAGAAGGTAATACATTAATAAACTAATCAAGTATTAAACACATAATGATCAAATTCAATAAAGGAACACTCCAGTGCTATAACAAAATCTAGGTATTTATAACACTGCCATGCTCTGTAGGTTTTTGAAATAACTGGGCCCTCAATGTATATACTGTTACTAACTAGGAAAGCATACTATAGGCACCAAAACAACTTTAGTGTAATGAAGCAGTTTTAGTGTACAGATGCTCATTGCACAATTCACTGTGATTTAGAAGTTAAATCACTTTTGTTTCTGTTTATGCAGCCCTAGCCACACCTCCTCTGGCTATGACTCCATATAGCCAGTGTGAAAAAAAAATAGTTTAATTTTCAATCAGACGTAACTTACTTTAAACGGTTTTATCTCCTGCTCTGTAATTTGAACTTTTTTCACTCCTGCAAGGTCTAGCAAGCTATTAACAGAGCAGGAGATAAACAAATTCTAAATTAAACATAATCTGCAATAAAAAAGTGTAAACATTGGATAACTCTTTAAAGGAAGTGTTTAGTTAGTCTGTGTAAATCACATGCAGGGAGGTGTGACTAAGTCTGTATAAACAAAGCAATTTAATTCACAAATGGCAAAAATGTGAGCAATGAGACTGCATGGGGCATGCTTTATTAAACTGCTTCATCAAGCTAAGGTAGTTCTGGTGCCTAGAGTATGCCTTCAATCTAGAGGTGAGATGGTATGTGTAGCTCTGCCCCTCTTCCTGGAGATCATCACTAGTTATGACCTTCTCATCCAAACCAAAGCAGTGGGACGCAGGCCAAATGAGCTCCTGGTTGTCAGTGGCACTGGACTGTCTTAAGTGGTAAGTGGCTTACCAATTTATTGTGTTGGAACAGAGAGGAAATTGTGTTGGAATCTGGGTGTAGAGGAAAGCAAGCTGGGGGAGAGATTTGGAGCATGGAGTGAGAGGGGAAATGGAGCTTTAAGGAGGAAAGGGGGGGCTGTGGACAGAGAGGTGAATCAGTTGGGGTCACACATATTTGTGTTTGTGTGTGCAAGTAAATGTGTGTGTGTGTGTGTGTGTGTATATATAGGAGTCTGAGTCTGTATGTGGATGTGTTTGTGTATGAGTCTGTGTGTGAGTATATTTCCATGTGTGTGTTTGTGTATTAATCTGTGTGTATGTATATCAATGTCTATGTATGTGTGTAAACCCTCCCAAGACACAATAAATATCAGCAGAGTAGGCACCTGCTGTTCGGGTAATCAGGTGCCTACTCTGCTAAAGTGAATATCTGCCCACCTTGAGGGGCCCTTAGGTGGTCCCATTAGGGCCCCCAAAGACAGGCAGAACAGAAAGGGCCCGGTCGCAATTGCGACCCCAGAGGTCCACGTTGTTCTGTCACTGCATTAAACAAAAGTGCTTTTTGTAGTTGGAGTGTGTATGCAGAAAAAAATGTAATTAGTGTTTTGTTGCAATTTCATCATTATATTGTTCTTTTTCTGCCTGGTAGTGCTCGATGTAGTGGATTGCAAAGGAAACTCACCTCTTCACTGGGCTGTGAATAAAAACAAATTAGACAGTGTGAAAGTACTCCTGTCAAGGGGAGCTGACCCAAATCTTCAGAACTTCTACAAACAATCACCACTGCACTTGGCGGTTCAGTTACATCATAACTCCATTGTTGAGGTAAAAGACAAACATTATCCACATGTAAAAATTATATTGCAGATTCTCTATAGAGAACAATAATGTGTAAAAATAGTTTCATGGTGCGTTGGCTCGCAGTTGTGGAGTTGTGTTCTGCTTCACGTCTGAGGAACTGAACATATGCCTAATATACACAAATGTTATATCCAGCCCTCATTAATGAAAAGATTCTATTTTATTGGTGCATTTCCTTTCCTGTCTGTATGCATTCTTTGTCCATCACACAAAACGTTGACTTGTTGATTGGTAATAGTCATCATGGTACAAATATATATATATATATATTTTTTTTTTTTTTTTGTGAAAAATTCATATAAAATATTTTGACAAAAACAGGCTGATAAGCTCACTGGTACAATAACACCTACATGTAATAGGTATGTTAAAGATGGTCATGTTAGGAAAGCATTAGATAGCTGGTAAGTGTGGTAGCATGTTATGGAACTGTTTAAAATGTAATAAATTGCTAACACATTGGAATGTACAAGATTTGGGGAGTATATGTTGGGAAGAGGAATATATCGGGGTATTTGTGCCTGTGAATGCAAGATTTTACTTAATTTAATTAACTGAACAGTGATTGAATCAGTGTTTTGTAACCCAGACTTGTGTCACTGTGGTGAAATTGTTCTATTGATCCGCTGATCCCCCACTGCTGTTGTTCCCTCTATTAATACATGATTGTTATGGCAATAAAGGTTGCACTTGTTGTGGCTAGTGTACTGGGAAAGGAGGTAAAATAGTTTTACAGTACATAATTAATTTCCCTTTTTTCATTATTGTTGTAGATAAAAAATACACGAAGGGCTATTCCAAGTTAAAAAAAAATGTAGAATTAGCAATTCTATTAGCTTTCCTATGGGGAGGGCCTAATGCACATGCGAGCATGCGCATTAGCCCCCAGATTAGATTCTTTAGGAGGAGACCAAGCTCCGACCTGGCAACAAGGGACATCGGTGCTAGAATCGAGTAAGTGTTATTATTATTGTTTTATTATTTATACAGCGCCAGCAAATTCTGTAGCACTGTATAATGGGAGGACTAACAGACATGTAATTGTAACCAGACAAACCTGGACGAACAGGAACAGAGGGGCTTAGGGCCCTACTCAATGAGCTTAAATGCTCGAGGGAGTGGGGTATAGTGACACAAAGGGTATAAGTAGGGGTAACGAAGTAGGTTGCTAGAGGGCTTAGTAGGTTATTTTTTACAGTTGCGGGAGAGGAGTCATGGGGGGTATGAAAACCTGCTAACAGGCTTACTTCCTGAAGAAGTGAGTTTAAAAAAAAATATATATATATATATATATATATATATAATTATTCTTTATTTTTTTGCAATGACATTGGCATCAATATATCATCAATACAGCGGCTTTTGCAAAAGCCAAAACAGGTTTCACGTATACTTGCTTTGTTACAGAAAGGAAAAGGTGTGTGTTAAGTCATACAGTGACAATCAGTATGGTTGCAACCTGTCAGAGATTTTACCGCTTTTCCATTCTTACATAAGCTAACTCTGTGAGGCAGAGTTCTTGAAGAGGGGGGGGAAGGATATAGAGACAGAGGGGAGGAGGAGGGGGGAGGATGAGGAGCATGGTTGGGGGGTGGTCGGCGCAAAACCATTTTGTACTTGCGAAATCAATTGGCGTGGTTTGCGGAGGCTTGGGGTTCCTGGTCACACTCCAGAGACTGTCTCCCAGGGCTCCCACATCTTGGCAAAGTTTTTAGTGGTTCCTCTTGTTAAGGCTGTTAGTTTGCCCATGATGTAATTATCTTTCATTTTGGCAATCACCATGGTTAGCAGTGGCATATCCTGTTGGAGCCAGGTTTGGGCTAAGGAGCGCCTGGCAGCTAAGTTAAATTTATCTAGAAGTCATTCCCTTTTTGTCCAGGTGTCAATCAGTTTAGAGAGGAGGAACACCCAGGGGTCTAGTTGTATCTGTTTGGAGAGAATCTCTGACGCTAAGTCACGGACTGCTGCTCAGAATTTGGTAAGCTTTGGGTAATTCCGCCACATGTGGATATACGTCCCTCTGTTCCCACAGAGCCTCCAACATAGGTCTGATTGTGTTTTTCGCATGTGAAATAGTTTTACCAGGGTTGCGTACCACTGGAGCACGGTCTTGTAGGCTTGTGCCTGCATAACCACGCATATCGATGTTTTGCTATTGGCTTCCCATATGTCCTGCAAGTCCGTGCCCTCCAGGACCTCCCCTAAGTCAGCCTCCCATTGGTTTGTATAGGTGAGTCTGCCCCAGTCTAGTGTGGTAGAGCATAGGTGGGAATATAGCATGGTAATCATGCCCTTGTGGTGTTTTCCACGTCACATATTTTTTCGAAAAAGGTTGGTTTGTTTAGGGCAGCTGCCTAGAAAAGTCTCTGATCTACCTGTATCGGAAGAAATCAAGGGTTGTTAGGTTAGCGCTGTTTATGAGTTCTGCAAAGGGTATTACTACTCCTTGTTCATACAGATGGTGGAGTCTCTGCAGTCCTGCACGTTCCAGACCTTTAAACTCTCTAGGTCTCATGCCTGGGAGGAATGCTATGTTCCTAAGGAGTGGCGTGAGTGGGGACGGGGAGGACATAAGCTGATATTTTCCAGCCGTTGTATTCCAGATCCAGCTGGAGTTGGTCACAGATGGGCAGTCTGCGGGGTAGGGCTCTACGGTCCTTGGGGACCCATATGTATAATAGTGGGAGATCAGCTCCCATCAGGAGGGATTCTAGATCTACCCACCACCTGTCATCTGTGGGGGGGGGGGGGAGTGCCATAATGCTATCTGGGCTAACTGGGCCACCAGGTAGTAGAAGTGGAGATGGGGTAGTCCCAATCCGCCCGCCAACTTTGGTCTGTATAATATATTTAGTGTGATTCTATGTCGCTTATTTTGCCAAATAAAGAGGTCGATGGCATTTTGTAAGGGGGCCAGATCCTGTTTGGACACGGGGAGGGGGATGGTCTGAAAGAGGAAGAGGATACGCGGGAGGACGTTCATTTTTACTGAATTTATCCTACCGATTTAGGAGAGGGGTTTATTGTTCCACCTGTCTAGATCTGCAATCAGGGTGGTTAGTAAGGGGGTGTAATTGAGTCGGTATCGTTGATAGGGGTCGGCCAGCAGTTTTATGTTGACTTTGTAAACTGATAGGTCCCGTACTGTGTGAGGAGGGGGAGCAGGTTCTGGAGGGATTCGACAGGTAGTGTCAGGGTGAGGAGTCATCCGCATAGCCAGATACGAAAAACATTTGGCTACCTCACCATATCGAACACCTTCTCGTTTCCGAGGGACAGAATGAGGGAGGGTGTGCGGGTGGAGGCTAGTCTCCAGAGTATGTCTATGTTTCGTGTTCTCAAAGAGTTGTCTGCCCGGAATGAAACCGACTTGGTCGGCATGGATTTGTTTACTGAGGTGGGGGTTCAGCCTGTTGGCCAGGATCTTAGCTTAGATGAGGGAGATCGGTTATGCGGATGACTGATTGATGAGGGAGATCGGTTGATACACTTCCAGCATCGATGTCTTTCCCTGGTTTTGGTATGAGGACTATATTGGCAAGGGACAAGTCTCTGTCGTGCATTCCACCCGTCGTTAGGTCGCTAAATAGGGATTGTAGATGGGGCAGTAGTTTGTCGCGAAATGTTTTATATCCGGTCCAAGGGCCTTCCCACTTTTTCGTGATGAAATAGCTTTAGCTATATCCCCAGTGATCGGGGTGCTTATGTCGTCTACAGCCTGTGAAGGCAATTTAGGCAGGTTCATGTTTGCTAAATAGTTGCGTATCTTGAGAATCCACTGTGTTGGTGTGCGTGGTATTGTTATATAGAGCTTTAAGAAAGTCAGTAAAGACGGTTGCTATGGGTGAAGTTTTAATTGAGCCGTCCGGGGCTTTAATATTAGTTATGTGAGAATGCCGTGGTCTGGGTTATAGTATGCGGCCAGTAACGTGTCCAATTTATTGGCCTTGTCATAAAAGGTCCATTTAGACCATTGAAGGGATCGGAATATGTCATCCAGGAGGGCATCCCGAATTGAGCGTTGTGTGGCTTGTAGTACTGCCGGCTTGTCTGGGGATAGGTTAATTTATGTTTCTGCTCTGCTTTACGGAGTTCAGGAGGGATGTCAGGAATTGAGTTTTTAGAGTCTTTTTCCGCATTGCTATTTTAATAAGGGATCCTCGGATCACTGATTTGTGTGCGACCCATACTGTCGTTATCGGGATGTCGGGAATTAGGTTGTCTTGAAAGTATTGTGAGATTTCAGTTCGGATTGTGTCAACTACTTTGGGGTCTTTTAATAGGGAGGTGTTTAGTCTCCATGTCCATGGCATAGATGAGCTGATCTTGTCCAAGTAGATAGTCGGCATGGTCTGACTATGTGATAGAGCCTATTTCTGTTTTAGCTAGTTTGGGAACCCCGGTGTGATTTCTGAGGAACAGGTCAATTCTCGAGTAAGTTTTAGGTGGGGCGAAGTAGAACATGTAATCCCGTGTGTCAGGGTGTTGTGCTTTCCATGTGTCAGTGAGTCCTGTCTATCGGATAAAATTATGGAGCAGCTTGTCCTGTCCGCCCATTCCATGTGAGCGAGGGATCCCAAGGTGTTGAAGTCACCTCCGACTATGATTATACCAGGGGGTAGGGAGTTGACTGTATGCGCTAGTTTAACCCAACAGTCAGGGGTTGGGGTATTCAGTGCATAAATGTTGAGCAGGTGGTTTGTGAGTCTAGACGACCCGTGACCAACAGGTATCGGCCCTCCGGATCTGGGATATTGCGTGAGACCTGGAGTGGGCATCGTTTGTGGAGCAGTATGGCTACTCCACAGCGTTTATGAAACGTTCTGGCCTCGAAAGCAGCATTGTAGATATGATCCGTTAGGGAGAGTTTGGCCGTGACTAGGAGGTGAGTCTCTTGAAGGAAATCTATGTCAGGGTTGAGGCATTTAGTTTCTCTCAGCATTAAGCCTTGTTTGTTGAGGGTAAAGACCCTTTACGTTAAGGGAGGAGATTTAGTGTCATGAGGCAGAATCATGTGGCACGTGGGATATGCAGGGGGTGTCTGAGGATGAGGTGGCCATCGTATCTTCTCCAAGTGACCCGCCCACCCGCCACTCCAAGATGTGTTGCCCTGAGAGGGGTGTTAGGTGTGGGTGAGTTGGTTTTGCGACCGACCAGGCAGGGAGGGACAGGGTAAAGGAGAAAGAGGGTGAAGGTAGGAAGAAAGTGAAGAAGATGAAGTGAAGCAGGTTCTAAAGGTACCTGCGCAGCATATCTGGTCTTATTCCTTGCCAGATCGAGGGGAGGTGCATGAGTCCCAGCCATCACCAGTGTGAGAACTGTCGGGTGACTGAGGTTCATGGACCATAACACTGGGGTGATTCCCCGTTAGCCAACTTCAATGCAGGTATAACAAATGATATTAGTAAGCAACAGCATAACCATTAAACAAAAAGAAAACATCACGCTAAAAGTCAGGAGCAAAAAAATGAGGACTAAGACCCTGTCTGCTAGGGGCCGTCATGCATGGTGTCAGGGGCCGGGTGGGAGGGGACAACAATGTCTGCCCCCACTCCTTCCCCTGAGTGCAGCACCTTGATCAGTTAAAAGTGCAGATATACATATCCATACTCCAAATACACCCCTTTCTGCTGCATCTGGAATACGATCAAATTATAAATTTGAAACTCGTGCTGCAGTGGGTTGCACGAGCCACCAGGTTAATGTGTGCCACCGTGTCCAGGCATTCTCAAGAGAACCAAACATATTTACAAAGCATCTGGGTTGCCGTTGTCCCCTGTGCAGTCGGATACTGCTATGTCAATTGTGGTGCTCCCTACATTTCACAATGATTACTACACATAAACACCTGCACAGTTCAAGGAGTATCGAATGTAGTAGGTAGAGGTGATTTTATACTGAATGAAAAATACACTCCTGCAGTATCCGTTGTCCTATGGCACACTAAGGTAGCTCTCGCTTGTACAGCGACACATTTTGTAGAGGTAAAGAACAGAGAACATAAATAATAATTCACTTTCCCCGGTACATTCCTATAACCACCCGAAACGTGCAGGGTAACATACTTGTGTATACCAAGATAAGAAGGGATATGTGCTGGGAATGCCTCTTCACAGTATATACACCATTAGCAAACATCTAGTTATGAAATGTAATTTAAGTCCAGAGATGACAAAAGGTTAGAATTCTCCCATCCATGTGGGATAGGACTCTGTTCGTCACAGAGTCTGTGCTGCTGGTCGGGGTGTCAGGAAGCCTAAACCATTGGGGAGGTGAGTCCAGGGATGTATGGGATTAGGGGATTGGGGGGAGTGGGCACCAACCACCACAACTACGCCCCATCACCACGCGGGCACCAGTGACAGGCACACAGCCCCAATCGCCATGGTGGACCCGGGTGGTAAACGGGGTATCCACATTAAAAAAGTGTGGGCTATTCTCGGGGTTAGATTTTGGTGTCAAGGAGGTGTCGAGGCTTGGGGCCTCACACCGGAATCAATGCAGTCAGGCATTTCAGATGCGCCACCTACGGGGTAGGGGAACAAGTGATTTTTTTAAAGATTTTTTTGAAGGAGTGGAGACTGGGTGAAAGTCTAACAGAGAAGGGAAGGGAGTTCCACAAAAAAGGTTCAGCCCTGGAGAAGTCTTGAAGGCAAGCATCAGAGGTGGGAGTACGGACAGAGGATAGACATAGGTCTTCGGCAGAGCGCAGAGGCCTTGACGGGACATATTTGTGTGCTAGGGAGGATAGGTAGGTTGGAGCAGCATTATGTAGGGACTTGTAAGCAAGCACCAGAATCGTGCAAGTCTGCAAAGTTCATTGTTTACAGTGTCGCATAAACTCTTTCTATGAGCTCTCATGTTGTTGCATGACTGAACTTACTTGATGGTGTGCATATTTGCTACTTTAAAAATTATTTCTTTTAAAAAACAGTCAGTTAGGACACACCATATAGAAATGTAAATGGCCAGGGGATGTATACATTCCCTCCATTTTATCACATGTTAAGGGGTTGGCTTATATCTGCATCATTTTTTTTTCAAATTGTTTCAATTGTAATAAAAAGATGGCATGGAGAGGCAACGTTTTGAACCATAACCCGTGTGAAGAGTAAAGTTTATTATTTTGCATGGAATGTTCCTTTAAATAAGCTGAAATATCTAATAATCTTGTGTTGTACTTGTCTAGGAATTGGCCAATCATGCTACTACAAAAATTGATATTGAAGGTGATCTTGGGAATACACCCATGATGTTGGCATGTTATAAGGATAATCACAAAGCTCTGTCGATACTGGTGAGTAAATAAAAATGTATCAGTCCACTTATATTATTTGTTATTTTATAGAATTGAGGAAAGGTTGGAGGGAGACCCAACTACTGTAATCTTGACAAATGTTGCAAGCTTTATTAAGAACATTCTTCATATCATTTCTCTTTTTAAAGGATCACTATAGTGCCAGGAATATATATGTGTATTCCTGACAAGGTAGTGTTAAAAACACATTTTACATAGTAGGAACCCCCTTGCCCCCGTTAAGAAGGTATAAACTTACCTTTATTCCAGAGCTGCACGGGCTTCCTTTCCTGTGATCATCAAAATTGATCTCAGTAAATCCAATGCTTTCCCATAGGAAAGCAATCAGAGGTTGTTGCGCATGTGCTGCAAAATGCCACACTGCCCCAATCAGGATCTTTTCATAGAGATGCATTGAATCAATGCATCTTTATGAGGAATGTTCAGTGCCTCTATGTAGAGTGTGGAGATGCTGAACGTCAGTGCTGCACATTGTGCAGAATTGACCCAAGAAGTACCTCTAGTGGCCTTCTGAGTGACTGTCACTAGAGGTGTTCCTTGGCAGTAATGTTAATGCTGCTTTTTCTCAGAAAAGATAGTATTTACATTAAAGAGCCTTCAGGGACTGAATATACACACCAGAACAACTACATTAAGCTGTAGTTGTTCGGTTGATATATCCTTTTAAGATATTTATGAACTGTGCTTTAAAGGAACCTTGTCAGCCACAAGACATGTGCAGCCATTTTTTCTCTCTCTCTCTCTCTCTCTCTATATCTATATATATATATATATATATATATATATATATATATATATATATATATATATATATATATATATATATATATATATATAGATATATATATATATAGAGATATATATATATATATATATAGATATATATATATATATAGATATAGAGAGAGAGAAATTGCCTCCATATGTCTTTTTATTATTCATATTATTATTTATATAGCATCAGCATTTTCAGCAGTGCCTTACTGTAATAGACAGGGAATATAAAAAAGGCCCTGCTCAAGCAAGCAATAAATTAGGATTTAAGGTAACCAGATACATATTGTTAGGTGTCAAAATTTACTGATGAGGTCATTTGACGCAAGGACTCAAACTTGGGTTTCCCAGTTCTAAGGAAGTGATGCTACGACTACTGTAGCCTGACAATGCATGTTAAAAGGGACAATCCAGACCCATAAAGCACTTTAGCTTCCTGGAAAGCTTTATGTGTGAAGAGTGTATCCTATTTTTTCATTTTACAAAAAGTGCAGATTTCAATCAATATTGACACTTTTATAAATTATACTAGTTACACCCCTTTAGCTTTTCAAGCAGACAACAGGTCCGGTTACATTCTGGTTTGCTTAGCCTATTTGCACTTAACTCAAGAGGCAGCAATTGCCCAGAGAACCTAAATTTCAAAAAATTCTCATTTAGCTGCATTGAGAAGTCTGTGATTGGTCAGTCACATAAAGTCTGGGTGGGGTTAAACAAGGAGGGCTTCCAAAGGCAGCAGATAAGAGATCTGTAGTTTTTGCAAGCTGTTTTTAGATATAACTTAAATGGAAAAAATGCTTAATTAAATGCATGCACATTTTCATTAAGAGTATATTTACTAAATAGTGATTTTTATTTATTTTATATTTGGACAGTGACACTTGGGAAGTATGACACGTGGCAACCAGTTATTTTGTTTATGACATTCACCAACACTTTCTTGTTAAATAGTCTTAAGGAACATTATACTAAAGATTAAGTTTATGACCAACGAACCAGGCGCACGGATTAAAGAAAACAAAACATGCACAGAAACGACATCTTACTCTTTTTATTTTCTCTTTCTCTCATATTCTTCCAGATTAAACGTGGAGCAAAGATCTGTAAACAAAACAAACTGGGATGTTACCCTGTACACTTGACGGCTTGTTCTGGGTCTATAAAATGCCTAGAACTCATTTTAAAAAGAGGTAATTATTTCCAGAATGAATGTAGTATTCCTGATTGGAAAGAATTAAAAATTACCAACTCCAAAACTGTTTTTATAATGACTTCTGTCATAAATTTCTTGATCAGGTCAAGAGGTTGGATACACCATTGAAGGCATGATTAATTTCACAGATAATGAGAAAAGTAGTCCTCTTCATATTGCTGTTCAAAATGGAGGCTTGGAAATGGTGAAAGCTTGCATCGGATATGGTGCCAAAATTGATCTCAAACAGGTAGTTGTAATAATGCCCACAACACGTTTTACACTTTATTATATACTGTTAAATTGTTATATTCATGTTTTAAATATGCTACACGATAGAAAGAGTGATGGTGATTTTTACGTGCCAAGTTCCTGACCCACCATTATATGTTGTACCATTTTAGCACAATTTGACTGTAGGTGAAAGTTTAGGATATATTGACCACCAGTCAGTGTGGTTTAATATAAGAACAGTGACTGAGTCATACCACACAAAAACAAAAATTTTAGACTTTTTTTCTAAAATTAGAATATGTGTAAAGGAGTCTTAATCAGACTAGAACAGTTTAAATGGAGTCCAGGAGAAATGGGATTATTTAAACGTTGCACTACTTAAATCAACAGAAAATTCCATGCAAGAGCAGCACTGTGGTACTCCGCAGAAGTGGCCAAAATAGTAAAAAACTAAAAGTTAGCATTTAGTAATCATAAAAAAAACCAGAGTGGGGAAGACAGACAGATCTATAAGATTAGGCAGAAAGAGGCTTAGCAAGTTATAAGCGCCTCCAAATTGCACACAGAAGAAAGAATAGCACAGTCAGTAAAAAAGAGGGCAAAACATTTTTTAGATACATAAACGACAAAAGGAAAAGTAAAACAAGGATTAGTTAGATTAAAAACAAAAGAAGGTAGGTATGTAGAAGAGGATACATGTCTAGCTGACTGCCTCAATTAATATTTTTGTTCAGTATTTACAGATGAAAATGGAGGAAACTGACCTCAGTTAGGATAAAGGACAAATTAGTAATTTGCTACATGTGAGTTTACAGAGGAAGAGGTTATATTTCAATTGTCAAAAGTAAAGAAAAAAAAGACGATGGGGCCTGATGGTATAGACCCAAAGTCAGGGTCAAACTGAGAAAAAAATTTGGCTTGGGCATTTTTTAATCACCGTGACCCACTGTCACCAATGACAAACACGTCCCCTCTGAAAGTGAGCTTGTTGGTTCAATGCTCTTCCAGGACAGACCATGCGCAAAGCTCTGCTGAGAAGCACTAGCATGAGAAAAAGGCCCTGTATCCAAAAAACCCTGGCCTGGATCCATGTCTCCCCAGAAAACCACTAAACTGTGGAGTGGAGCATTGGCCCACCCTTCTCTCCAAATGCTCCACCCCAGGGGCCCATAACTAAACAGTGTTTTGTGTTGTGCAACACACAAACTACACGTACTTCCCCTGGGGTTAAAAGGCCTATCTGCCTTCACTTTATCACAATATATATATATATATATATATATATATATATATGTGTGTGTGTGTGAGGGGTGGTATGTGAGAGGTGGTGTGTATGTGATGGGTTCCGTGTTAAAGGGGTGCTGTGTGTGTGTTAAAGGGTTGCTGTGTGTGTGTGAGAGGGGTGCTGTGTGTGTGTGAGGTGCTAACCAATCATTGTTAACAGGAGTAGTCCCAAAAGATTGCAAGTTAGAGAATGTTGTGCCCATTCACAAGAAAGATAGTAGGGAGGAGTCGGGCAACTATAGGCCAGTAAGCCTTACTTTAGTGGTGGGGAAAGTAATGGAAACCATGTTAAAGGATAGTATTGTTGAACATCTAAAATCATATGGATTTCAAGATCAGAGATGACAAGCATGTATAGGAGTTCTAGTGTGTGTGTGTGTAGTAGATTGAATGTATATAGGGATGTAGTGTGTATTAGGGATCGACCGATTATCGGTCTGGCCGATATTATCGGCCGATATTTGGTATTTTCGGCAATATCGGTATCGGCCAATTCAGATACCGATATTGCCGATAATATATAACAGGACCGCCGTGCCCATTACAAGCCCGGCGGTCCTGTGGGGGCCAGCAGCAAGCGCTGACTTACCTTGCATGCAGCTCCTACAGCTCCCTATGTAAATCTCGCGAGACCCGCGGCCGCAGAGCGTTGCCACGGGTTACCATGGCAACGCTCCGCGCGGCACTAAGAGCCGTGAGATTTACACAGGGAGCTGCTGGAGCTGCATGCAAGGTAAGTCAGCGCTTGCTGCTGCTGAGCCACCACTGTACTTAACAAGCCACTGGACCACCAGGGGATACTATATCCCCCTCCCTGGTAAGAAGCAGGGAGGGGGGACTAAACAAAAAATAAAAAAAACATTTCAATATTAAAAAAAATATTAAAATAAAAAATTACACAAATTACATCACTACACACACACACACACACACTGCATTACATACACACTACACAAACACACACTACACAAACACACACTGGGGGGGGACTAAACAAAAAAAAACCATTTAAATATTAAAAAAAATATTAAAATAAAAAATTACACAAATTACATCACTACACAAACACACACACACTACACAAACACACACTGCACACATACTGCATTACATACACACACACTGCATTACATACACACTACACAGACACACACTGCATTACATACACACACTACACAGACAGACACACTACACACACACCACAAACACACACTGCACACATACTGCATTACAGACACACACACTGCATTACATACACACTACACAGACACACACACTGCATTACATACACACACTACACAGACAGACACACTACACACATACTGCATTACAGACACACACACTGCATTACATACACACTACACACACTACACACTACACACACACTACTGCATTACATACACACTACACAAACACACTGCATTACATACACACACTACATTACATACATACACATACACACTAAACACACACTGCATTACATACACACACAAAAACACACTGCATTATACACACACACTACATAAACACACTGCATTATATACACACTACACACTGCATTATATACACACTACATTCATTATACACACACATTACACACACACTCTGCATCCACTTCACACACACACTACACAAACACACACAGTTCCCCTGTCTAAACACACTTCATCCCCTACATGTGGCATGTATATTTTGTGCATTTACCTTTCAAATTAGTTTATTTATTCAAAATAGTAAATGTACAGAATATCGGCAAGATATCGGCTATCGGCCTGAAAGTTCGCAGATTATCGGTATCGGTATCGGCTCTAAAAAATCAATATCGGTCGATCCCTAGTGTGTATGTGTGTGTGTGTGTAGATAATACAGAGTTGGGTAAGGGATTTAGTGTGTGTCTGGAATGTAATGTATCTAGGGCTGTTGTGTGTTGGGGGGTGCTGTGTGTATGTTTTAAGGGTGCAAAGTGTGTGTGTGAGGGGTGATGTGCGTGAGGGGTGGTATGTGAGAGGTGTTGTGTGAGGGGTGGTGTGTATGTGATGGGTGCAGTCTGTGTGTGTGAGAGTGGTGCTGTGTGTGTGGTGCTAACGAATTTATTTAACCAATCATTGTTAACAGGAGTAGTCCCAAAATATTGCAACTTAGAGAATGTTGTGCCCATTCACAAGAAATATAGTAAGGATCGGGCATCTATAGGCCAGTAAGCCTTACTTCAGTGGTGGGGAAAGTAATGGAAACCATGTTAAGGATAGGATTGTTGAACATCTAAAATCACATGGATTTCAAGATCAGAGACAACATGGTTTACTTAAGGGAGATCATGCCAAACTAATCTTATTGATTTTTTTTTTGATTGGGTAACTAAAATAGTAGATCAGGGTGGTGCAGTAGACATTGCTTACCTAGATTTCAGTATGGCTTTTGACACTGTTTCACATAGAAGGCTTATCAATAAACTGCAATCTTTAAGTTTGGATTCCAATATTGTTGAATGGGTAAGGCAGTGGCTGAGTGACAGGCAACAGAGGGTTGTAGTTAATGGAATATATTCGAAGCTTGGACTTGTCACCAGTGGGGTACCTCAGGGATCTGTACTTGGACCCATTCTCTTTAATATTTTTATTAGTGATATTGCAGAAGGTCTTGATGGTAAGGTATGTCTTTTTGCTGATGATACTAAGATATGTAACAGGGTTGATGTTCCAGGAGGGATAAGCCAAATGGCAAAGGATTTAGGTAAACTAGAAAAATGGTCAGAGCTGTGGCAACTGACATTTAATGTGGATAAGTGCAAGATAATGCATCTTGGGCGTAAAAATCCAAGAATATTTGATAGAGTCCTAATCTCAACATCTGAGGAAAGTGATTTAGGGGTGATTATTTCTGATGACTTAAAGGTAGGCAGACAATGTAATAGAGCAGCAGGAAATGCTAGCAGAATGCTTGGTTGTATAGGGAGAGGTATTAGCAGTAGAAAGAGGGAAGTGCTCATAAGATAAGGCCAGGGACTAAAGAGAGTATTTGGAAAACTGGGCAGACTAGATGGGCCGAATGGTTCTTATCTGCCGTCACATTCTATGTTTCTATGTTGACATTTACATAAGTTCTTTTCTATGCAAAATGTTAATCTTGTACAATAATGAAATTCATTGATTGGCTGAGAGTACTCATCTTATGACGAACAGACAGGCAGACAGACAGAATATATCTAGGGAGACCAGCAGATACAGAAAGACTTAGTAGAGTTTAAGTAAAAACAAAAGGTTTATATCCTTATAGGTCTTGAATTGTAACTCTGGTTTACATTTTCAGAACGATAATGCAACAGCCCTTCATTTTGCTTCCACACAAGGAGCAACAGAAATTGTGAAGTTTATGATTTCATCGTACAAAGGTGATAAAAATGTTGTTGATCTACCTGATGGCAATAACGAGACACCACTACACAAGTAAGGAGAAGGGCTTTTGAACATATATAACTTAAAGGTCTTTGAAGGAAAGAAATAATTTGTCTTGACTTAAACGGATTCTCTAAGCACCAAAACAACTTTAGGTTAATGAAGCAGTTTTAGAGTATAGATCATACATCCGCAGGGTCACTGCCATTTAGGAATTAAAGGAATACTATATGTATCAAAACAACTTTAGCATATAGTTAACTGGTTTTGGTGGATAGATCATGCCACTGCAGTGAATTTAATCACTTTGTTTACACGTCTAGTCACACCTACTGCATGTGATTTACACAGCCTTCCTAAACACTTCCTGTAAAGAGAGATTTCATGTTTAAACCTCTGTTGTTGCACAGTCTGTTTAATTTAGAATTTCTTATCTCCTGCTATTTTAATAGCCTTCAAGATCCCACAGAAGCCTCCTGTGTGTGATTAAATTTACAGAAAAGGAGATATACCGTATATACTCGAGTATAAGCTGACCCGAATATAAGCCGAGGCCCCTAATTTTACCCCCAAAAACTGGGAAAATGTATTGACTCGAGTATAAGACTAGGGTGGGAAATGCAGCAGCTACTGGTAAATTTCTAAATAAAATTAGATCCTAAAAAAATTATATTAATTGAATATTTATTTACAGTGTGTGTATATGGTGAGTGCAGTGTGTGTATGAGTGCAGTGTGTGTATATGAGTGCAGTGTGTGTGTGTGTGTGCTATGCAGTGTGTGTTTGTGTTGCAGAGCCTTGGTGGGGGGTGGGCATTTTTATAAAAAAAAAATAATAATTTAAATTTTTTTTTTGTTATATTATTATTTTTTTATTATTTTTTATTATTATTTTTATTATTATTTTTTTATTTTTCGTCCCCCCTCCCTGCTTGATACATGGCAGGGAGGGGGCTCTCCTTCCCTGGTGGTCCAGTGGCATTGGCAGTTCAGTGGGGGGAGGAGGGGAGCTGGCAGAGCTGTTAATTACCTCTCCTGCAGCTCCTGTCAGCTCTCTCCTCCTCCGCGCCGGTTCGTGCAACTCTTCTCTCAGCTCACACTGTAAGTCTCGTGAGAGCCGCACTATGACCCCGCGGCTCTCGCGAGACTTACACTGGGAGCTGACCGAGGTGCTGACCGGACCGGCAGGGAGGAGGAGGGAGCTGACAGTAGCTGCAGTAGAGGTAAGTAACAGCTCTGCCAGCCCCCAGTCTGTATTATGGCAATGTAAATTAATGTAAATTGCCATAATACAGACACTGACTCGAGTATAAACCGAGTTGGGTTTTTTCAGCACAAAAAATGTGCTGAAAAACTCGGCTTATACTCGAGTATATACGGTAATTTTCAGGCAGGCACCGCACAGACAATAGTGCCTGCCATTTGGCACCCCAGTTCTCTCCTCTGTTGAACCCAGCACCCCGGTAACATAGCGACAGGCACCACTACAACAGCAGGTGCCTGTCACTAAGGTAGCCTGGCCACTCAAAATCTCTCATCCTTTTTTTTTTTTTTGCTAGAGAAATTCTACGCCCAACACAGAACCAGAACTACCCCACACACATACTCTCCAAGACACAGAGATGCACATTCATACACAAGGATGCTCAGGCACATACACACTCAGTTAGAAATGTTCACACACACACACTTTCAGGCACAATATGCTAGACACACAGACACATTAAGCCACCCACACCGTGCAGCTCTCAGCCTCCACACACAGTAGAAACTACACATTGTGAATGTATTTGAGAATAGAATCATATTTCCCTTTCAATGTTGGACATATTAGCTCTACAATGCTCCATTAATACAAATGTCAATATTTAATATTATTCAACATTTCTTATCACATCACAAATAAAAAATGTAATGTTCTTTGTAGCACATTAAGCGAATAAGGCTAAATATACGTTATAAATTGTGCAAGGCTTTGTCAAAATAAATGTCATTTAAATTTCCTGTAAAATAGCACAAAATTATGTAAACAGAGACAGATGTTTGTCATTATTTAGTATACTGCTCCGTGCTAGCAGGAAAAGTGAATTAGAAGAGGGTTATTATTTGATTTATAGAGTAGTTAATAAATTAATGAATTAATGAATGCTATATTTGTATATTTAATACTTCTGCTCCATTCTAGTTCATCTTTCAGGAATTGTCCGTCAACCAAAAAGCCAACATATTAATTTATAAAGGAAATGGACAAATTAGATTGACATTCTTCAGATTGTGTTCTGTCTGAGTATGAAGTTATCTTTCTTTGTAAACATGTGCTCCCATACATCCTAGTATGTTACATATAGTGCAGGAAAACAGGTTCTAGCTTAATAGATGGAGCAATGGGTGGTTGATGTCTAACAGTTCTACTTCTTCATATAACATATGTGTACCATGGTAATGAATTTTAATTTTGTTTCTCATTAGACATGTATTAACTAATTTTGTATTAGCTATTAGTCAACACAACAACTCTGACAGGGCATTTCCTCATATGAAACTTGTCGGGAATTAAAAGTGAATTTTAAATCTGAGGACAAAATCGCTATGCTTCTAGTTCAATTACTATGACCTTAAATTTGAAATCCACTTTGCATACCCGACATTTCTTACTTTAGTTAATAGCCCTGTTAGCATCTGCAGATAGTGGTTCCATTCTCCAATCCTTCCTTACGCATCAATACCTGTACCTCATGCACTCCCCTCTGCCCACCCCACTAGTGTCAGCGGTTAACAAGGCTGACCAAAAAAACAACAACATATAGAACATATAACATTGTATTATTATTATACAAAATATGGGGTTAACAATGTCTGATTACAAGTAATTTTATACAAAAGAACCCTATTTGAGTGTGCATCTGTTTGTCAGGGTGTACATCTGTGTGTGCGCACACATCTGTGTATCAGTATGTGCATCTGTGTATGTGCATCAGTGTGTCAGGGTGTGCATTTGTGAGATTATCCCCTTACTATGTTATCTTTCTGCTTCATATTTGCTTTTCAGGTGTAACCCAATGTTGTCAGGTGGTTTCACTTGAATGATGTAGACACATTAAGCTGTTCTTCAGTATATCGCTTCAATTTACTCGATGGGTTTTACTTATTAAACACTGAATTGTAGGGAACTGAACCCTTATTTGCAAATTTTAGACAAAATGAGCCTGTAATTTATAGGAGACTGGTATTTTAGTCTGTATTTTGTAATATAAACACAAATATTTTAAGTGCACAAACCTGCTACATGTGCCAATTATTAATGTAGTAATGCTTTGCATGAAAGACCACGCAGCATAGAAGTGAACTGTATAATTATGCCATTTTGATATAACATTCAGATAATAAAAACAGGTAACAATATTGTAGTTAAACATTTGTTTATAGGTTGCCAATAGCTTGATGTATCTTGTAAACAAAGTAAAAGATTATATTTTTTTCTGTTACTTGGCAGGTCTGCATTGTTTGATCATGTTGAACTGGCAGAGTATCTATTATCAATGGTAAATATAATTTCAATTATTTTATCAGATATATAGTACACGCAGAATCATGTTTTAATAGTATATTTTTAGTACATATTCTGGTATGCTAATATAAATGTTATGTGTGCATAACAATTATAGTTTTAATTGACCAAAACAACTATAAGTCCCCATTACCAGTGCAACTGCTCTTTTCTAATGTTTTGCCGGTCCCGCCGGGTCGTCCATCATATTGCCGCCTCCTTTGTGCTCCTAATATGGCAGGGCAGAGAATTCCATGTTCTGCCTTTCTCATTGCATGCATGTCAAATAACCACACACACAATTTCTCCAATGGACTGGTGTTGACTCAACACAGAGTTCCATTGTCGCACCGCTCACTGAAGATACGCAATATTGAAAGGAGGCTATGAAGCTTGACTAAACCTCCACCTTTTGTCAACCTTCAGGTTATACAGGCTATAATTTACCCCCAAAAAAGCTTAATATCGGGGAAAAAAAAGGCAACTAAGGGAGCGTGGGGTTTGGAACATACCAAAAAAGTTAAGTGAATTTAGTTTATAGCTTCTGCCCCTGCAGTCTCACTGCTCGGTTCTCTGCCATTCAGGAGTCGGATCACTTTGCTTATGTAGCCAAAGCCAACCTACCCTGCCTACACACTTCCTGAAAAAGAAACCACATTTTGTTAGCTTCCTTTATTGCACAGTGTGTTTAATTTTGAATGTCTTATCTACTACTCTGTTAAGTGCCTGCTAGAGCCTACAGCAGTCGTGTGTGATTTATAAGTTCAGTTAGCAGAGCAGGAGATAAACACTTTTTTTTAGGAAGCCTATGATATTCTGCTTATAGTGTCAATTTAAATAAAAATAAAATCACAGTCAGAACAGTCAAAACAAACATAAACTTGAATGGGGCAATCAAAAAAAAAAAAAAGGAAAATTAAAAACAACATTTGTATACATTTTATCCAATTAGAAAGTTATGCGCCTGGCTGAGAAGCCAAGAGGAAATGAGATTTCATCAGACTAAGTTTTTATATTATGCAATCTCATTACTGAACAATCTGCAGTCTGGAAATCAGGGAGATGTGTGTAGTTATGGAGGCAGTGGCTCATAATGGAAATATTTTATAATCCACTTGCTTGTTTTCTGTACATGTGTAATCCAAGTTTACACTTAATTTAATTTGATTTTATAAAATAAAAGCGTGGGATATGCCACTAAATGACATTTTGAGAAGAAAATCTTGGAATATGTAAAATGTAAGTTATTTAAGGGTTACTCCAACCCTTATGAATATATTTTTTAAATTGGGCATTATTCTTTATGTCTCACCTTCCCGAACGCTTCATAAGTAAACCTCGAGTATGTTTTAACTACCTGAGATCCAGCGCTGGGTGCCCTCGGCACACACATGCTAATTACACTGAATGTACAGTGTTTCAAGCTGTGTTTCAAAAAGCAGGAGTGCTCATGGTGGTTTTAATAACCATTTAAAATATATCTTGCAGCACACTTGGTGTGATGGGGAGATAGTGATGTCATCAACACTGATAGATACTGAAAAAGGTCTAGTGCAAAATATAAAATGTAAAGGGTGATGTAATATTTAGCAATCAATTTAAATATTATATAAAGTGCTAATAGCACAAAAATGATTGCTATGTTCTACCATGTGTAGCAACCAAAAATATAATTTGTGACATAAAACATAAAAAATGCAATAATTAGTGTGCAAAAAGTGTTAAAAAATTAATTATTATAACCACTTCCATTTTCCAAATATACAGTAAAGGGCTTACTCTTTTACTAAAACTTTTGAAATCATACCAAACATTCAATCAAGCTTTCTGTGATCACCCTAAATAATAACATATTCAAACATAGTGCAGATTTAATTGTAACAACAGGAACATAAAATATGACATAATAATCCCAGAAGAGTATCTCTGTAATCTACCCTGCTCTGTGTATTGTATAGGTATATTTCTATTGTGCCCGCTCTGTGTAGTATATCTCTGTTTTATCTTAGCTCTGTTTGTAGTATGGTTATCTCTGTATTGTAGTCAGCTCTATGTATTTTATAGATATCTTATCCTATTGTGCCCAGCTTGGTTTATTGTATGTTCATCTTTATATTACACTTAGCTCTCTGTATTGTTTGAGTATCTATGTAGGATAAATAAGATAACCCTTTAAGGACACATGACAGAAATAATGTAGGATAAGTAGGGAGTATCTATGTAGGATAAGTAGGGAGGATACAAATCTGGGGAAGAAGTCTGGTACTTCACACTGCCAGTGTTTACTTAGCTAAACCTGAGAGGTTAGGGAATAACCCCCAGGATATTTATTAGGTGTATCAATGTAACATATTTTATTTTTTTCACAAGCCAAATATTTCTTGAAGAATAAGCAAAAACAGTTGCTCATTTGTTAATCATATAATTGCTTTTTCTTCAAGGGATGGGAAGAGATCGTCTCTGCAAAATTGTGAAAATCTAGCTAATTAACTATTAGATTAATATGTGCATAGCTTTCATACAGTTTCATCACTGGTAACACCAATAGTAAATACGCAGTATTACACATGTCACAATTTGATCATTAAATGTTAATAGTGTTTCTGAAAATGATACCTGTAAAGTTACACAAAGAACTTGTAACGAAATTCCCTATTGAACAGACTATGCGAACCAGCCTGTTCGGTTATTTAGATGTGTGTAGAGTGATTTCGTGCAAATAGCGAGAAAACGAATAAACTGCCGAATCACCCGACCTCCTACTGAGGTCGTGTGGCGCCCATTAACCACCCAGACTTTGCGGTTAACCACAGACTAATTGGGGAATAGCTTGGTGGTCCGCGTTCGTCTACCGAACACGTGGCAGTCGCCATTTTAGATTGTCGAGCGCTTAGCGGTAAATGGCGGCGATGCCCTGGAACTCTTTTGGGATACTTATTCTGCCGAACAACGCTGTTACCTATCAAGGTCCTCGTTCATACGGTGGAAAACACATGAATGCCAGAGACCCTGCACCATTCGAGTCTTGGATGTATGCGAAAGTGACCGACCCCAGATAGCTACAGTATGGAACTCTATGTCGGATACAAACACGCGAACGGCCGGTGAAAGTCAAACTTCAGTCGAAGTTTTTGAGAACTGTGTTCGTGGGATCTGAGCGCTATTCGCCTAGAATATGCACTCAGATCCAAGCTATCTGGGGGTATGTGGGACTTAAAGTTTATGTTCTGTAAAATATAAGTTATATATTTTAATGATGTTTGGTGAATATAAGAAAAGCTATGTTTCTTTCTACCTGGAGATAATTAAGGCTCTCTTTACTACCTTAAGTTAATTATCTCCAGGATGGAAAGGAGGGAGTGATCTGTGTAAAAGGGGAGTGTTTATGTTATAGCCACTGCGATTGGCTACTGCAATTCTTTTGTCCCAGTCTTCCATCTGGTCCCCTAGGGGAGTGTCCACCAGGTGGGAGACCTGCATAAATACCGGGCAGATAGCCCACAGTAAATCAGATCGTTTTACCCCTTCATGAAGTCTCGACTCATGTTTGGGGGATTGGGAGTTATAATCACTTCGTTTCAGCTGGATTTCGGGAGAAGCTGCAAGGATCATCGCTGCACGAATAGAAGGATCCTTTACAGAACTCATTAGGCAATATCTTACACATGCCATGGTTACTACAAACCATTTTATTGAAGTCTAATTAAATAGGTTAAACAAAACAATCTAAATTACAGTGTGTCCTTCCTGTTTCAGCTAGATTTATAGTGTGTAGTTTTATCATTAACCAAAACTGTCTGTTTATTCAACAAAAAGCCAATAACTTGGTACCGATGGCTAAAAATATGACATTCTGTGTACATTTGAAACAGTATAACATTATTGTATTTTCTATGGACTTATAAAAACGTCATTCTTAAAATGAAATCCTATTTCTGCTATAAAAAGTGTAATATTTTACATCACGTTATTTATTTAATATAGAATAAAAATAAAAAGATGCAGAGAAACTATGGGTGGTTACACTTTTAGTGATTATTCACTAAAGTGAGAATAATTGGGAATTAAAAAGTGAATTTGATATTTAAGGTCAAAATGCCGAACTGGAAAATCCCTCCAAGTCAGCTATGTTTTCAGTTTGGCCTTAAATGTGTCACAGTAACCCATTACTGCCTTACAGATCTGAAAAAAAAAAAAAAACAGAAAAGAAAAGAAGAAAGCTAAATTCCACTATGTTCTAGTGCTGAGGTTTCCGCCTGGCAGCCCTCTGCTAGTAATGTAATTCTCCAGCCCTGGAGGGGAAAGTGTCAGGAGGGACAGGTTAGGGGAAGACTTGAGCAGGATGAATGTGTGGGCTGTGCCGCTATTGGATGTCTGCTGCCAGCGTGTTATGTGTGCTGGTGACAGGTGCCAACTGAGCACAGAACTAACATTAGCTAACTTAGAGCTCTTCCAGGCTAGTTGGTCATACTCTAATACCCTTGTGGTAGATGGAGTTACACCTCTGGCAGCTAAAAGCATTTTCATTTTACGTGCTGTGTTTCATAGTGACAAGCTCCACATTCAGACTCCAGGCACTGTGTGAAATCAGTGAAGTGGTCATGGTTCTAGGTATAAAATGCTTTAAGTGGTTTATTGCTGCAATGTTGGACCCTGGAGGTGCACTTGTGATTTTTAATAAATCTTGAGTAGGTGAGTCTACTGGTCGTTCTGTATGTATTTGCTAGTTCTATGCACCTGCTAATTTCCCTTTCTCTGTGAATATGTACACTTGAAACATTCACGATCAACACATGTAACAGGTAAACAGTTGGAATAATGGTCTGTCCTGCCAAATCGCCTCATACAGTAAAATGAATAGACAGCCTATTTCATTGTGTCTGTCTTTTTAAGTTGTGTGTACATGGCTATTGTATTTTCATCTTGTGTTCATGCATCATGATTCACATTGCCACTGTGTCCATGTGTAACTCAAAGTATACAGTATCAAAGAGTACATTGCGAAATGAATAGTCCATTAGGAACCATAAGTCTTTCCATTTACATGCTAAGGACTGATTGTTGGAAGCACGTGCCTTGTTTCTTTGTCCTTATGTTGTGTGCTTAACTCTTTTATTTACAGGGAGCAAATATTGACAGTTTGGATAATGAGATGCGAACACCTCTTGTGTTAGCCACATCTTGTTCTGCCTGGAATACTGTAAATTTTCTTCTTGCAAAAGGTACAGTCTAACATCCATCATTATATTCCAGATTCAAAAAAACATCTAACTCAAATATACCTTTAGTAAAGTGTAACACCGTATTTCTGGAGTTTTCCTTTTGCAAAATGTCTCAAAATGAGAAGTTCTTATTATCTATTCGGACACATATTTAAATAATTCATGTGATCCCCTCTGATATCCTAAATGCACTTCTCAGTATTAAATACCGATGGGACTTTTTATACTTCTCATGGAAGCATAATTTTACAACTGAATCTCATAACATTTTACTAACATTAACATTTTTTTACTCTGTAATACCGGTGTTTTAATACCAAATTATATTTATATGAAATGGATTTTCCTTGTTGTCGTCTGTCCAAAAGTAAACTAATAATTTTTTATGCAATTATTTCAATTTGTATTTCAATAGCAAAGAGTTATTTTGCCCTCAGTTTTGCCATTCAATTTCAATTCAGTTTTGATTTGCTATAATTTTGGTGAATAATACGGCATTTTTTAGAATTGTTGTGAAAACATGAATACATATGAAAGCATTTGATTTCTTTTAGATCCCAGCAAAAGTAAGAGCAGTTTATTTAAAGAGAATCTATTGTCCCAAAAATAATACTACTTTTTTTTTTGGACTATAGGTTTCCTGCTATTACTGTAACCATCTTTTAATGCCATTTAATGCTATTTAAATATTTTACCTGTTTTCGCGATCCTTTTTTATTATTATTATTATTATTATTATTATTATTATTATTATTATGCAGCAATCTGTCCGCTTCGTGCAAACTCACACTAACCCCTCTTCCTATTCTTGTCCAATCAAATTTTTTGTATGGAAAAACATTGGGGACAAGAAGTAAAAACTCCTCCAATCAAATGCTCTCTAGAAGCATCAAAGGAGGTGGTGTTAGAGAACTGAGTCAGACTCGGTTCTTGCAGTGGAAGTACCTCTAGTGGCTGTCAGGAAGACAGATACTATGGGTGTGTTTAGCCCTGCAATTAAACCATTGTTGTATCTAGTAAATGGCAATATTTTACTATGCAGGACTAAAACTACAGATTCATTATAGTGGTCCTTAAATGCAAGCTTATATAGATATTTTATGACATGGGGAGCCATGGTTAGCTATTGTTTGTTACAACAATGGAAATCACAAATAAATTATATGCAGCAAATTCACTTTGATTAATATGTGAGGAAGAGCCTGCAATTGAATACTTGTTTTAATCTGCTAATAATTATCTTGATTACATTTTAGTTCATTATGAAATAGCTGTAGACTGTGTGGTAAAAACCAACACCAGTGAAAAGGTGGAGCGCTAAGGAGATGCTTGTGAATAACTCACCTCCCCCCTCTCTTTTTTGGGTGTATTTGGGGGTACCTCTAGGTTTTAATACACCCAAAAAAGAGAGGGGGGAGGTGAGTTATTCACAAGCATCTCCTTAGCGCTCTACCTTTTCACTGGTGTTGGTTTTTACCACACAGTCTATTGCCATATTCTGTATTTTTGTGTCAATCAGTGGAAGAATTGCTCATTGGTGGTAGCAGCTCACATTAATTTATATATACATTTCTCTTCTTAAGCGCCTGAGAACACAATATCACTTTACACCATTATGAAATAGCTATTGTTGAGCACTGTACTGCAAGCTATACCTACAGTTTTGTATTAGAAAATACTTCAGTTTTATTTTCCTAAAAAGCCACATGTGAAATGAGTTTTGTGTGCTTAGATAATACCATTAAAGACAATAAAAATTTAAGTAAATTGGTTCCAAAGGTTCAGTATGTAGGTTGACTTTATTGTAATAAAATGATTTCCAAGAGTTTTTTATCAATAATCTAACTCTGTCTTCACAACCTGACTGCCATTTTATACATGCATCTCCAATTAATCAAAAGGCTATTACTTCAGTAGCTACCAAAGGTCATACTTTTTATCATTGCTGAGAGGTGAATAAACATCCTGAAGATTTCAATATATTCCAGTCTCATTGACTTCCTAGAACAAATACAAATGTTCTTAGAACAATGAAATGCCTTTTAAAAAATGAACATTATCAATTTTCCAGTTCTTGTTGTTTTAACCTCACTGGCCTCCTAAAGCAAATAATATTGAAATGATTTGGTATATTTTCAAAAAATGTATAGTAACCCACCCAACCCCACCCCAGATAGTTACTAATACTTTTTTTCATGTTCTACTGGTGACTATATATTTTTTTTTTGTATGACAGGCTCACTTTAAGTGTGTATTTGAACTATTGTTAAAATACCCATGAAAATATCTGATAAACAGTTTAGCAATAATGTAACATCATAAGATTGTACTAGCTATGTCCATACACAAAACACATTTTTAAAAATGGTCGACATTTGCTTTTAGCTTTAAAATGGTACTTAAGCATAGTGAAATAAGGTTATGATTATGGTTGTTAGATTTTTTGTAGAAGAAATTATTGTAGATCCACGGAATGAGGAAACCCATAATACCTGCACTTTGATGCTCTTATTAGATATAGGCCCTTCCTGCCTGTTCAGTAGGCAATCAAGGCTCAATTATATTTATAAGTATTTGTTTAACATTGGCAATATATATTTTTTCATTATTGCATATATTATCTCAACGTTCCGTGTTCTGTGTTTTATTACATTTTAGGTGCAGATGTAAAGCTAACTGATAATTATGGCAGAAATTTTTTGCATTTAACAATTTTACAGTCTGGAGGCCTGAAAAATATTAATAGCGACTTTCTCCAGGTATGTTGTTAAATACTTTTCGAATTATTAGGGGGATTATATGATTTATTTTTTTGCCTCGTGTGAGTGTGGTTAAACTAGTCCTTCCCCTTTCCACATCTCATTACTTCTCTCTCCTTTTATATGCGTATGCGACCTTGTATGTAATATAGATATGTTATGGTGATTGGATGGATGTCACTGAGTGATTATTTGTAACACAAGATGGGTGCGTGACAGGTGAGTGACTGATAAGTACCTGTATTGACTGAGGGATCAGCAGTATGTAACTAGTTGAGTTGCTAGTTGGTTGACTTTGTCTGGAGGTATGTGACTTGGCATGTGAAAGGACTTATGACTGGTTGAGTGTATGGGTGTGTGCCAATGTCACACAATGACCTGGAATGGACTGTCCTTAGGCCTAGCTAAGCATTTGAGATATCTAGTACACAAACATCTGCAGTGCCCTGTACTCACACTTCCACTACTCTTGGGTGGCAACAATGGCCATAGTATTCATCAACCCAAATATATAGAACAAAGAAAGATATCATGGCACTAGAAAAAGTGCAGAGACGAGCTACAAAATTGATAAAAGGAATGGAGCATTTTAGTTATGCAGAAAGGTTAAAAAATTTAAGTCTCTTTAGTTTGGAAAAATGGCGCCTGAGAGGGGATATGATGGACGCAAGTCTCTTTTCAGCTATGTAACTATGTAACAAAAAAAAAAAAAACTGCTCGTATTTTCCAAGTCCTTATGTACACTTAAGTAAAAGAGGTATTTAGTACAATGCTATAGCTTTCCAGGTGTTTGTATACCACATTTCTCATGATGTCTTATCACCCCGTAAAGGTTGGCTTAGCATTATGTGAATTGTAGTTCATGAACATTTGCAAATCCTGATGTTAACCATCAGTTATAGAAACACTCCAAGCATCATAACCATGACAGCACCCTCTAGTAGTTGTTGTTCCTGGAGTGCTCTGGTGTCTTTTAAAGGTAAGCAGTAAAACAGTTTGGCTAATGGTTTGATACTTTGCCTTGGTGAAATCCAGACATCTCCTGCATGGTGTTTCCATGAGCTCTTCTAAGCAAAGACCTGCTTTGGAAGACCAGCTTATTGGCTGAGAGCATCAGCTGACTAACACCACCAGCTTAGCGTGCAGGATGACTGTTTACATTAGCAGGCCCAGGGCACTCCTGGCACCATAACCACTATGAAGTATCAATGGCTGTAGCAGTAATTCATCCATAAAAGTTAGGTGCCCTGGTGCTATGCACCTTGTCCATCTATCTTTGCCTACCCCTGAAAACTATAGTCTTGTTATAGATTGAGTATCTCTTCTTATTTAAATTAATTAAGAGGTTTACTTTTCATTTTCCCTCAGATGGAGCATATAAAGGCACTAGTAAGTGATGAAGACTCAGAGGGCTGTACTCCACTTCATTATGCATGCCGACAAGGAGTGCCAACCTCTGTCAACAATCTACTCGGACTTAACGTGTCTCTTTACTCTAAAAGCAAAAATAAACAATCAGCTTTGCATTTTGCTGCAAGGTAGGTTTCTACATTGAATTAAAAATAAAATAAATACATTTTGAACACATATGGAACAATAAAGAGCAAAGATTTACTTAAAGGGACATTATAGGCACCCAGGCCACTTCATGTCATTGAAGTGATCTAGAGGCCGTGTCCCAGCCCCCTTATCCTTGCAATGTAAAATATTACATTGCATTAATATAATTTATGTCTCTTGTTTTATATTGCATTAAATGCAATGTAAAACTAGAGACGCTTCCTGCTGTTTCATGGATTTTAACTCTGTGAAATGACACTGGACGTCTTGATGCTTTGCATTAAGACGTCCAAATCCCTGTGGGAAAGCATTGTTTGAACGCTAAATTAATGCGTGGCACTCGGCAATAGGTTCCCCCTAAGTGCTGATGCTGGAGGAGATGTAGACAGAGCCAGCGTCGAGGGACCTTGGCCCTAGAAAGAGGGGAGTGTTTAAAGTTTTTTTTACTGTTTGACTGCCGTGTGTATATAGGTATTTAATATGATTTAATATGTATTTGATTAATCTGTAGTTTAAGAAAAGGATACAATTACTGTCCAAAGTTGCCATCAAGATGCTACTGATCAATAATGAGTCATTTGGCAAAGTGCTAGATTTGACACAAAGCAGCAAACACATTTGTTTCAATGTGGTTTGCTCCACTTTGTAATTATGCTTTACTAAAGCTGACTATATATTTTTTTAGTATGTCACCGTCGGGAGTCTTTACGAACTCAGCAAAGTCCCCACATGATGACAGTGCCGCTTTAAAATCTGTCTATAGTTAGGTATTCAACCTAATAGCTAGCACGGTATTTAGTAGGTATTCAACCTAAATGCTAGCACGGTATTGAGTAGGTTACTTAAAAACTAGCAGGGATTCAACTCTGGATAACTAGTGAAATCTCTGTACTGATGTGTAATTTGGCAAGTGTTCAAGCTCAAGTTTAAAGCTAAAATGTTTTTTCTTGTCTTTAAATCCTGTAGATAATGAAATATTTTCCAATGCTTAGAGCTGTTATAGTTTGGTTCTTTATCATAAAACCTTGTAATAAGTTCTGTGCTCCTTTAATATACATCATTGCTATGAGATGAACTTCATCATTGCTAAGAGATGAGTATATAAATGCTTGCTCCATTATTATGTTTTAATATTATATCTTGAGAAAATGGGAATAAATGGCTTGGTATGTATTCTTCATTAGCATCCATAAACATATCTTCAGAATACATAAACGAAAATGTTTGTGAAATGTTGCAGGTCACTAACAAACAATTGCACATTTGGCAAGTTAACATGGCCTGGAGTTTTTCAAAATATTAATTTAACTACCAAGTAGCTTTTTAGATCCAGAACGTAGAGATAAAGTAAAATTAGTATGTAACCTTAATCATCCAATTGTAATGAGTTGGTATTGTTATCGATGCATATCGAATGATCGTGGCTATAATTGATTGTGAGATCATAGAAGTAATTGTAGATTATGCTAACGTAGTGTACCTATAATCCTAATTTTAATAATGACAGGAGGCAAATATTTTGCATAACTTTCTTTACTGTAAACTCCAGCAGCAGAGGTCAAAGTTCAAATCAATCAGGAAAAAAAGAACATTGCATTATATAAAGCCTTGTAGCCTTGATTCCTCCTCTTTCTTTGATGTGAGAGATAACAGTTCAACAACTAGGAACAAAAACTCATAAATCTGAAAATTAGAACCAAGTCAGATGACCCTTCCAATAGAGAGAAGTTGAGGCAGGAGGAACAGCCAAATTGGACCAGACGCCAAAGGTTTTTACACAGAAAGAACAGAAAGGCAAGAGTAATGGTATCTTGTCAACAAAATCTTAAACATTTATCTGGCAACATCCTAACATTGGGAGGAATATTAAAATAATCTTTTAGCTAAGGAACTGAGACAGTATGATCCATAAATAGCACAACTATTATAAAATTAATAACCTGTGAAAAAGATAAGCCATGAATCGAGAAAAATAGGGAGGGAAAATATTTGCCTCCTGTAATTACTAAAATTAAGATTATAGGTACACTACGTTAGCATAATCTACAATTTTACAACATGACAGGAGGCTTCATATTTAGCATTTTTGACGCTAAAGCAAAACAAAAGAAACATGAGAAGTAGGATGAAAGTAAAAGATCCGTAAAGTATAAATAACCAATTACCCCGAAGCAGTGGCGTACACATGACCCATGGGGCCCCGGTGCGAAAATTGATCCGTGGCCCCCCGCCCACCCCTGCGCTTACTCGGCGCGGGTTGGGGCCGCAACACATGGCGGTGGGCACCTGGTCGCAGGGGTTGCAGGGCTGCGACCCCGCGACCGCGGTATGCACACACACTTAAAGGACCACTACAGACACCCAGATCACATCAGCTCAATGAAGTGGTCTGGGTGCCAGGTCCTCTAGTTTTAACCCTGCAGCTGAAAACATAGCGCTTCAGAGAAACGGCTATGTTTCACTGAGGGTTAATCCAGCCTCTGGTGGCTGTCTCATTGACAGCTGCTAGAGGAGCTTCCGCGATTCTCACTGTGAAAATCACAGTGAGAAGACACTGAACGTCCATAGGAAAGCATTGAGTAATGCTTTCCTATGGGCGTTTAAATGGCGCGCCGCTTCTTCTTGCTGTGTGCATTCGGCTGAGAGGCGGAGGGATCCCAGCGCCAAGGGAGTCCGACGCTGGAGAAAGGTAAATGCTGAAGACACACACACACACACACTCTCACGAACAGATGCATACACACTAGCTAACAGACACACACATTTACTGACAGAGACACACTCAGCGACAGACATACATACACACTCACTTACAAAACATACACTTTCACTGACAAACACACACTCACTAACAGACATCAAACACACTCAGTAACCCACACACACAGTAACACACTCACCAGCAGACACACACCCAATAACAGACACACTCACTGACACACACACGAACACAAACAAACACACACACTAACACACACACTAACACACACACACACTAACACACACACACACACACACTAACACACACACACACTAACACATTTTTTTTTAATATAATCCCCCCAGCCTCCTTACCTCTTGGAGTGCTGGGGGGGATTATTCCCTGGGGTCCAGTGGGGCTCCTGGGCGGGTTGCCGGTCGGGCAGGCGGGCGCGCGGGAGAGCACTCAGTGCTTCCTCTTCAGCTCCCTCGCGCGCCGCGTAGGGATGCCAGCGCCGGAAGATGACGTCATCTTCCGGCTCCGGTATCATTGCCGTGCGCGAGGGAGCTGAAGAGGAAGCGCTGAGTGCTCCCTCGCGCGCCCGCCTGCCCGCCCGGCCACCCGGGGTCAGCAGGGCCAGCCTCAGGGGGTCCCTGGGGTGGCCGGCTCCTGGGCCCCCCAGGGGAAGAGGCTGGCCCTGTGGCTACATACCGGGTCGCAGGGGCGGCCGGGCCCCCTGGTGGGCCGGGCCCGGTCGCAGCCGCGACCCCTGCGACCCTGGTATGTACGCCACTGCCCCGAAGCAGTCGATCGATAAGTGAGTCCTGACCCACTGCTAAGCCTATGATTGGAAGAGGTGCATTAAAGGGAACAGAGTCCTTCTCCACACACTAGCTATTCGACTTGTTCCAGGCAGCAAGGTAACTCCTTCTAGTGTAGGGAGCCCATAAGTCCTATAATAGATTTTTAATGACTTGTGGTATGCAGTCAACATTCCAATATCCCATAAAACCGTCTAGGCCACAAGTTTCAGTCGGTCCTGTAGTACTAGGGGGTGTGGTTTTACTCTGGACTCAGAGAGTAGGAGGGGAAACTTTGAAAGAAGGAGAGGGTGGTTGTAGGACAATTCCAACAGATCCGGGAACCTTGCTTGGCTCGGCCACAATAAGGCAATCAGTAGCAGAGAAATCACCTGAACACGCACTAAATTTAATACCCTTGATATCATGGAGAAAGGAGGGAAAGGGGTGGCCATACTGGAAGAAAAGCGCCCACTGTAGTAGGGAACTGACAGTGTGCAGGCTGTGTTCTGCCACACAAACAAAAGGGCCGCCGTGAATTTCGCAAGGCGCAAGATCCAAGATGGCCACCGCGTGCGAGGACCCGTCAGGAACAACCCCTGTGGACCCAAGCGTGCGCCGGGAAAGCGGCGTCTAGTGCCCCAGCAACCCAACTACCCCAGGCCCGGCCTAAAACATGGAGGGAAAATTAGCAGGTAAAAAAAACAGGACACAAGTCAGATCCCCACAGCAGTACAATGCAGGACAGGGATACAGAAGGAGACAGACAAAGTCAGTATAAAAAGGTGTACAGCAGAAAGAGAGCCAGGTAATTAGAGGGTAGGATAGAAGCCAGGACACATAGCACAAAAAAGAAATTTAAAACACAAGAACACAATTAAATAAATATAATCAATAGGGTACTCAGAGAGAGCAAATGCTCTGACCTTTTGTAGCCGGAGCAGCAAAGAAAGAGGAATCATGCTACAAGGCTTTATATAATGCTATGTTCTTTTTTCTGAACTTTGATTGACCCTTGCTGAGTTTACCGTAAAGAAAGTTATGCAAAATATGAAGCTTCCTGTCATGTGGTAAAATTGTCAATACTGAGTTTACTATTTCCACTGGAAGATTATTCCTGGTATTAAAATGTACTAATGGCAATCATATGCAGAATAATCATACCCTGATACCAAATGCTGAAACTGACTAAATCTCCAAGATTTGGGAACATGATGTTTATCTGTTATTTAGGATTCAAGAATTTATGCAACTCTATAAACTGCGCTGAACACTGTTGGATTGATATTGTTATTACCTTGTTTAATTAAGAATTCTTTTAAATTTGTCCTTCACGTTATTTTAAATAGTTATGGCCGTATTAACACCTGCCAACGACTTCTGAGGTTTGTGTCAGACGCAAGGCTTCTCAACGACGCTGAAGAAAAGGGCATGACGCCACTTCATTTGGCAGCAGAAAGCGGACATGAAAAGATAGTTTTCATGCTTCTGAAAAGAGGTGCCCTGCTTTTAAGGTAAATGAAAAAACTTGAATGCTGATAACAAATTTAGCACGAGATATATTTGTGTTTGTGCAATTCATATTATATCAAAAACTGATTTTATAGTGCACATTAAAACGACACAGTTACTAACTATTCGAAACCAAGTCCAACTAAGCAGGGGACTGCTGTAGGTTAGTCCTCACGTTCGTTAGTCTGAAATTAATTCAGTTTTTGCAAATTCAGTGACAGATAACGAACACAAGGAAAGCTGCGAAGAGTCAATCTACATTTTGTGTTTTGATAACTGTACACCAATTTTCTATTGTTTAGGGAAAAGATTGTATGTTCAACGAACCCATTTGTTAAATTTTGATTTAAAAACAAACTGAACAGATTTATAAATGATGTACTCATGATATAAGCAAGTTTTTAAAATGCTATGTTATGGACCATTACAGACAATTTCTGAAATAATTACCAGTTTAACTGCGTTTTCTCTAATGTCATATCAGTTGGTATTAGGAAGGAAAATGTGATGCCTTATTTTAACTGACTATATGAACAGCAGGCCTCAACTGCTAGTGTGTCAAAATGCAGCAATTACTGTTCTACATAGGACTGGAGACAGAGTAGAGTCATGTTTTGTAAAATGATCAATAATCAATGTTAGTTGATGATAATGCTACTTTGTTTGAATTATTAAGTGACTACCGTGGATGGACAGCCCTGCATTATGCGGCAGCTGGTGGTTATACCAGAACTATGAAAACTGTCTTGGACACCTCCTTTGGACTTATCGATAAAGCAGACAAAGAAAAGGTATACTCTTTCGTACTTCCCTTTAGATTTAGTACTGTGAGCTTTGGCAGTCAACTTGCTGTGTTTATGACTTGCTATGTTAATGACCAAGTAGCTAGAAAAACTAAATCTCCACTTCAGATCCGTGCACCTGCTTTTTAACAAAAATATTGCATATTGTCACTCAGATGAGAAACCTATTTATAAAAAAAAGTTAGTTTCCCAGGAAAACCTGTTTCAGTAAATCAATATTTTTATTAATAAATAAGTCAGCAAACAATTAAAGAGATACCATAGTAACCAAATCAGCTTAGCTTAATGAAGCAACTTTGTTGCATAGGTCATGCCCCTGCTGTCTCATTGCTCAATTATATGCCATTTAGGAGTTAAAACACTTTGCTATACAGCCCTTTTTAAACACTTCCTGAAAGGGAAATTAGATATTTTAGATTCATTTATTGCACAGTCTGTTTAATCTAGAATGTCTTTTCACCTTCTCTGTGAATAGCCTTCTTGACTCTGCACGAGCCTCCTGTGTGTGTGATTATAGTTACATTTACAGAGTAGGAGATAAAAACTTCTAAAACACGTTAACAGATTGAAAATGAAACATTCTTTTTCATGTATGTTGTGTCAGTCACAGCTACGTCTGGCGTGGCTAACCACACCTGCCCTAGTTGTGACTGACAGCCTACATAAACAGAAACAAAAGTAATTTAATGCCTCAATGGCAGATAACTGGGCAGTAAGACTGCAGGGGCACATGATCTATACACCCAAGCTGCTTCATTAAGCTAAAGTTGTTTTGAAGGCTTCAGTATTCCTTTAAAAGATGTTAGTCTTGACACCTTGTATTTGGTATGTGGTGGATAACCTTCTTGGAATGTGGTAGATGATAGTGAATAAACACATTTACTTTACTTTGCCATGCATTCAATTTTTTTTCTTGTTTTATAGAACACAGCTCTCCATCTAGCTGCACGGGAGGGTCATGCTAAAGCTGTAGGACTTCTCCTGGACCGTGGTGCATCTGTCACATTGAACATGAATGGTGCTTCATTCATTCATGATGCAATACGCCATGGAAGGAAGGATGTTGTTTATGCTTCAATCCAGAGTGAGAGGTAAGAGATATGTTTATGCTGTAACTTGGACTGTAATAGAAACTGCAGAATCTCCTCTAGGCTCAAGATGTATAATAGTTTTACATTAGCTCTGTTAAGTCTTTATAAAAAATTCCTTTTTTTAAAATTTCAACAGGAGCTGCCAAATTTACAAATGTTTAAGGCTCTACTATAGCTCTTTTGTCATTGTAATCAGCTGTTTTTTTTGTTTTTTTTACAAATACACTTTACTTTGCTAAAACCATCAACGTGTAGCGGAATGATAATTAAATAGACACTGTATGCACCAAAACAACTTTAGCTTGATGAAGCAGTGTTTGTGTTTAGATCATTTCCCTGCAGTCTTACTGCTCAATCCTGTGCCATTTTGGAATTAAATCACTTTGTTTATACAGCCCTAGCCACACCTCCCTGCAAGTAACATCCACAGCCTTCTTAAACACTTCCTTTAAAGAGAGATCTAAAGTTTACATGTCCTTTATTGCAAATTTAGTTTAATTTAGAATCTTTTTTTCTCTTGTACTGTTAATAGCTTGATAGACCGTGCTGTGATTAAAGTTCAATTTACAGAGCAAGAGATATACATATCTAAAGTAAGTTAATATCTGATTGAAAATTCTTTTTAGTTTTTTCATGCAGGCTGTGTGAGTCACAGGTAGCTGAGGTGTTGGTAGGACAGCTTAAACAGAAACAAAAGTGATTTAATTCCTAAATGGCAGAGAATTGAGCACTGAGACTTCAGGGGCATGATTTATACACAAAAACTGCTTCATTAAGCTGAAGTTGTTTTGGTGACTTTAAGAACAGTAAATCTGTTGCAAAGGTTTTCAAGCATTATAAAATAGAGATAACTACGGTATTTTAAGCACTATAGTTGAATTTTGTAAATACAAATATGAACACGCTAACAAATATATAAATACATGCATACATTATATTTAATGTTATTAAATTAGAGCAATGCAATAGGAAATAATGTAATTGATCTGACTCTGTTACAACAAAATACAGAATGGAACTATTTTAAATTGTCCTGTAACGCAGAACACTCACCAGCTTTTGATGGAATGCATTCTAACAACAGGTAGAGAGAGGGGCAACGCTATGCATTTCTGGGTTTGTTTTTCCATTTAAATTACATTTGTAAGTTAGGTTTTTGTAAATGAAGCAAGAAGGAGGAAGGATCGCCAGGATCCATGCTCTTTAATTCCTTACAGAAGTTGGAAGGGAGGAGATAAAAATCCAAGTGGGTGTCCTTTGGCATATAATTACTGTATCACGGTAAGCCAGATATGGGTTACTTTAGCACCTACTTTGCTAATGAATTCTAAATTGTATAAATGTCTGAGAAATGTTGCTTACAAATATGTAGATTAGCAGACGAATGGACTTGCAGATTCTTCAGTACACTTGCCTTAGTGTGCTCCCCACTCCTTGAAATTCAGTAACATAGTGCTGCTTAAAGCATCTAACCACTACTCTAAATAAATTACAGTACAATAGATGCCCAATCACCGACACTAATTAGAACTAATTCTTACTAATCTAATTTGTCTGACGTCCAGTTCCTTTGGTACAGATAGCTGGTAAAATAAATCTTCCCCTCTCCACCCTTCACATCTAAATATGTGTGGACATAAGGGTGCACCCTCAACCACTTTAAAGGCAATTTCTTGAGTGTAATGCCATTAATTATATTTAAGGTAATTTTGTGGTATATACTATTGGTACAAAATAATAAAGAGGCTGTTTTGTTTTTTTAAAGTGTGACAAAACAAATGTAGCAATATTTACCAAATAATGAATGCTTATTCTGTATGCAGGTGGGAAGAAATTCTGGCCACATTTTCGAGTGAGTCTGGCTATGAATGTCCTATTCTTGAAATGGTGACCTATCTTCCAGATAGCTTAAAAGTTAGTAACCTTTTATACTGCTTTAATTACAATGTGATTATCTTAACCTTGACAGGTTAGTTACTTTAATGTATAGCCAACACACCATTGTACAAATTACAAGCAAAGTTGTTGCCACGTGACAACATTTTGTTTTAAATGAATACATTTTTTGTTCCTATACTTCTTTGGTTTTATCTTTTTTGAAATTCCCATTCAGTTGCTATGTTACTTTTCCCACAATCCACAGAATGTCAAACTACAGATATCATGGACATAAGTAATGGTAGTGCAAGGAAAACCAGATAACAAATATAAATGAAGGCAAGGTGTTGTGGCCATGACTTAATATGAATATTAATAATATTTTAATTAACAAAAAAAAAGGAAGGAAAAGGGGGGGCGCTAATAAACAAGTGTACTATTAAGAATAGTGTAACATGCAGCAAAGTCACCTAAGTGTACAGTCACTTATTTACACTTACATACAGAAATTACACAACGAAGAAAAGGTGATTGCGCACTTGTATTGGATGAGATTCTTGGGTTATGAAAATAAACCCTAGGTTCTGTAAATACAGAAAGCCAACATAGGGTAATAAATTTAAACACCAAATATTGAGGTCAACATAGGGTAATACATTTACACAAAACATAAAATAAGTGCGCTATTTATTTGTGAAATATAAATTCAACTCACTATACAAAAAGAGTGAGATAGTGTACACAATTTTTTGTGCAAATTTTCATTTTCATTTTTTTTATGTACATTATCTGGAGATTGAGAGTCATTTCCAGTATATGATTTTAAGTAAGTGTACCACTTTTTTAATACACTAAGTCACTTTTTGGTATTAAGAATCTTTATATAATACACAGTCAAAGAGTATTATGAGTGTTTAAATACAGCACTTGTATATTTGCACAAAAAATTGTGCACACTATCTCACTCTTTTTGTATAGTGAGTTGAATTTATATTTCACAAATAAATAGCGCACTTATTTTATGTTTTGATTCTATTGTTGGGTGTTAGGAGCTGATACACTTTATAGGTGCTGCTTTTAAAATAAGGTCACTATCACTACTATAAGCACCTTTTTTCACTTGTTATATTATAGTTCTGTAATACATTTAAACACCAAATATTGAGACCTGTGATATTGGGTCACCTGAGGAAGACCTGTGATATTGGGTCGAAACGCATTGTGCTTTTTATGCTCTTATTTTTATTTTGTTTAAATAAAAGTATTTATTTCATACCCATCTGCCTGCCTGGTTCCTGATCCACCTAACAGAGGACTATGAATACCTTCTGGGGGGACCAAGCACCGGTATACCCACATCTGGTTGATGTATCCTGCCTTTATAGTTTAGAGCAAACTAAGAAATGCTCTAAATATTGTGAGTTTTCCAAATTACTTATTCTTAATATTTGGTGTTTAAATGTATTGCCTATGTTGGCTTTCTGTATTTACAGAACCTAAGGTTTATTTTCATAACCCAAGAATCTCATCCAATACAAGTGAGCAATCACCTTTTCTTAGTTGAATATTTTAATTAATATATAATTATTAAGCAATAAGTAACAACACTAATATTTTTTTATAGTTCGTGGTATTATGGTTGAATATGGGGATAAAAAATACGCAAAACATTGTAATATTAAATGTATATTTAATATAATTATAATAATAAGTAACAGATGCTAGCAAAATGTAAATTTACTAAAATAATTGTACAATACAAAACTACAACCTATTACTTACAAAAGACTATAACAGTTGCTAAATGTTACAGTGGAATCACATGGTACAATGCAAAATGTGAACAAACTTACACAGGCTAAACAGTCAGCTGCTACAGTCTTAGTCAGTCAAGGGGAGAGCAAAAAAGAGACTGAATCCTTCCTACATCTGGTTTTTATTCAGTGTATTCTTAAAGGACCACTATAGTGCCAGGAAAACATATTCATTTTCCTGGCACTATAGTGCCCTGAGGGTGCCCCCACCCTCAGGGACCCCCTCCCGCCCCGGCTCTGGAAAGGGGAAAAGGGTTAAAACTTACCTTTTTCCAGCGCTGGGCGGGGAGCTCTCCTCCTCCTCTCCTCCTCCGATCCGCGGCAAGAGCTGCGCGTGCATTCAGCCGATCGCATAGGAAAGCATTCATAATGCTTTCCTATGGACGCTTGCGTGCTCTCACTGTGATTTTCACAGTGAGAAGCACGCAAGCGCCTCTAGCGGCTGTCAATGAGACAGCCGCTAGAGGCTTTGGGGGAAGGCTTAATCCATTGATAGACATAGCAGTTTCTCTGAAACTGCTATGTTTATAAAACAATAGGTTAACCCTAGCTGGACCTGGCACCCAGACCACTTCATTAAGCTGAAGTGGTCTGGGTGCCTAGAGTGGTCCTTTAAGTAGACAGGCCTGTGATGTCACTACCAGAAGCACATGGCTTAAGGATTCCTACACACTGCGTCTAGTGGTGCTTCTAAAACATTATGCTTTATTTTATGACGTAAATCATTATAATAATACCATTACACAAGGGGTATAATCATTCAGATAGAAAGGTTATCTGTAAATGTAAATTGAAAGACAATGAAACGTGACAGTCTTGTTTTAAGTATTGTAAACACTCCTCTATAATTAAATAAATATTTGAATTTATTCTTTTTTAGCAGCTTTTTACTGTTCTGAAATTTTAAATCAAAATGCTTTTATCATTAAAAGTGTTATCATTATTATTTATTAATTACTATTATTATTTTTACTTTTGTTTTCAAGTATCTTCTGGACAGATGCATGAGTGAGACAAACACAGACAAGAAAAGCTACGATTTTTGTGTGAGTTGCCAAAAAAATAAAATGAATGCATTCCAATCACAAAACCCAAACGATTGCATTTGTCCACAATGCTTCCAAAGGCAGCTAAAGACACACATATGCACAGTCACATGCAAACATGCACACAGACTTCAATGTGAATCTTAGAGTTGCGTAATCAACCATTTGTTTTTTTATAAATTTAAAACCACAATACAAATAAATGATTTTCTTCTAAGAATCCTATAGAAGTTTAGCTGGAACTACCATAATAAATAAATAGGACACGTGAAATCATTCTTTGTACCCAAAATGTTTAGCATGCTGTGGATGTTTTCCTTTGACAGGCATCTTCATAGAATTTCAAAAGCAAAATGCATAAAAATCCTTTGGGCAGGAGTTTAGGTTCAACACTCATAGACAGCTTCATTTAAAGGGTTACCGGCATGACCGCTTCTGCTTTTTGAAGTGGTCATGGTGGTAGGAGTCTGGATGTGCAGTGTTTTTTGTTCAAAACACTGCACATCCTGGAATTATTTGCACTTGTGTGCTGAGGTCTAGTTGCACCACAAGCACATGTGACATTTCCAGCCTAGAACTCTTTTCCGGGCTGTATAATGTCAATTCTGTGCATAAAATACATCTGTCATTAGAGAAGAACCTCTTGTCCCCCTTTCCTTTAAAGCCCCCCAGCGCTGGATTACTCAGGGGGTTCTAATTGAATAATGTCAAATAGGGCGTTATTCCATTATAAATTAAAAAGGGTTGGAGAAACCTTTTAACTCTGTAAAGCCTGGCCAATGAGTTTGCATCTCTTTAAGTTATTTATGTTTTTAAAATAATTTACAAATATGATATGTTTGTATCATATTTCATACACCAGGAGTTTATGAGTTTCTCTTCACCACAAATAATTTGTTGTTTAAACATACATTTGTAACTTTTGTTATAAAAGGAACCTTTGAACAACTTACACATTATTATTTATTTTGCATGGTGGTATTTCTGTCCTTAGATAAAATGTACTTTTTATTTACAGGTTATAAAAACTGAGGTATTTTGGTATTGAAAATTACTCCAGAAACAATTAGCAAATGACCCAATACAATCGATATTTGACTGACTATTATAACAAAGCAGGTTGAATTAGAAAGAAAAAACTTAAAGGTTTCAACACAAAATATGCATATTGCCTCATAAAATCCAATGCAATGATTACTGAGAGATTTACAAATAGTTTCTCTTACATACCGGCTGTATCATATGTGATGCACACAATTTCAACACAGTTTTATTATATATTTTAGTAGGAACTTTTAAAAAATTATAACTTTTCCAAATTCAGTGAAATATTGAAATATTACTAACAAAAAATGTTATTCTTACTGCAAGTTTTTCAAACTTGGCAAACACTTTTCCCTGAATACACATGACTGCTACTTCAGGAAAAATGTCCATTTGGACTGTGTATTTAATTCTATTATGCATCAATAATCCACTAGAGGGCAAAAGACATGAATCAGATATGTGTGCAACAGATTTCTCTGGAGAACATTGATTGTATGATTACAGTAGAGGTCTAATAACCTCATATATGAACCAAATTACATAGATGGCTAAACTATCTACCTAATGAAAATATTTTAAAGCCTTATTTTAGAGCTAAACAGAAACATCTCAATACAACTAGTGTATTTTATGTCAACCCACAAATATGATGGAAAGTATAATTTTGTAGTATTTGTACATTATCTCACATGGATGAAATGTTCTATTCTAGGGAATAGTACATATTGGGAATTTCGTGTTACAGTTGTACAAATTATAATGCTATCTCTTATTTGTTTTTCCACTATTTTAGGTTGAATATAATTTCAAATACCTGCAGTGTCCACTCAGCTTTAGAAAAGCACAAAAGACAGATACAAAAGTACAATACGAGCCTTTAACTACATTAAATGTAAGATACATTTGATTTGTGGCGTCTTGTATGCAGTATAATTTTAAGGACTTTTGTTTATGCATTTTAGATCATAAAAACTTTTTAACTTAATAACTCGCTTGCATTTCAAAGAAAACAAGTAATTGAAAGCTTGAGGGCAGGATTCTAAAAATGGCGTTATTCGTATTAATAATCTCTACATTTGTTGGTTCTCTTTAAAAAATCTAAATAATGTTTATATAGACATTATATACATATATATATATATATATATATATATATATATATATATATATATATATATATATATATATATATATATATATATATATATATAAACATAATTATGTAAGACATAATTAGGTTACATGAACTGGCTTCAGTTTGTTTCAGAATGAGAGTTCTAAGCCAATAATGGCCACAATTTAATGTTTTTGAAAAAGGTTGTTAGAAACGCATTATCTCTTCATCTCAAAACAATTTAGCATTTTAGTATTTTTAAACGATTTAAAGGATAATTGTTTTAATATCATAATATTATCTTTATCTTATATCGTCTCCTATTTTTTTTAATGTTTGAAGGAATTACTTGTCTACTTTTCCCACTCCCCCTTTCTGACAGTAAGGAGGAAGCCTTTAATATTATTTAAATGAATAATATATCTACATCTTAATGTAAACTGTTGTAAGCCAATAATAGATTAAGTATAATAAATAATACAATGCCCCTTGCTGACATCAACTCTCAATTAATTCTTAATACAATTTGTATTCTGATTTGGTGTAAGTCGTGGGTTAGATTGAAATATCTTGGGGAGGTTTGTCCCTTTTCAATTGCTATGTTTAAATATACTGTAGACTTTCTAATTCCGTACTCACTAATGTTATACATTTCTCAAACATTAAAACGTTACTGGCTGGGAAGAACATTTATCTACTGTTTGTAAAAAAATTTATTTTTCATTTTTAAAAAAAATGTTTGCCAAAAAATTCAAAATTTAGCATGTTGCTGTGTTCTAAAAGCATGAGTCCATGGGTACAGGGATTTGCTAAGTTAAATATTTCCATAACAGGGTGAATAACTCTGTCCAACTGCTTTTGTTGGGCTGCAGTTTCCGTAATTCTCCTTCAGATGGATAATAGGAAATGTAGTCAACATTAGCTGGAGGACACATGCTGGACAACCTGTTGAATTACTGTGTTGTGTAAATATCGTATTTCAAACTATTGCATTGCTTGCTGTTCAATTTCCCTTATGTTAATTGCTTCCTTTCTATTTGTACAGGCCATGGTGGAGCATAACAGAGTTGAGCTTCTTTCTCATCCAGTTTGTAAAGAGTATTTGCTCATGAAATGGTATGTAATCTTCAGCAACCGTCATATCTCTTGGCCAAAGCAGTGTCACAGCTGGAAATACACACCGCAGTTAGCTGTAGCAAGTAGCGCTTAGACTATATATGAAGCAGTGGAGAAATGGATATGTTTAACCCCTTAAGGACCAAACTTTTGGATTAAAAGGGAATCATGAGATGTCATGTGTCCTTAAGGGGTTAAAGGACCACTATAGTGCCAGGAAAACAAACTCGTTTTCCTGGCACTATGTACTCCTTAGGTCCCACCCTCATGGCCCCGCTCCCGCTGGGCTGAAGGGGTTAAAACCCCTACAGCCACTTACCTTTATCCAGCGCTGGGCTCCTTTGGCGCTGTTGAACTCTCCTCCTCCTGTCAACGACAGCACCAAATGCGCATGAGCGGCAAGAACCGCAGGTGCATTCAAACCGCCCATTGGAAAGCATTACTCAATGCTTTCCTATGGACGTCAGTGTCTTCTCCCTTTTTTTTTTCACAGTGAGAATCGCGGAAGCGGCCTCTAGTGGCTGTCAGTGAGGCCGGATTAACCCTCAGTGTAAACATAGCAGTTTCTCTGAAACTGCTATGTTTTCAGCTGCAGGGTTAAAACTAGAGGGACCTGGCAACCAGACCACTTCATTGAGCAGAAGTGGTCTGGGTGCCTATAGTGGTCCTTTAAAGGGACACTCCAGGCATCATGAAAAATACATGCATATTAGATTTATACAATAGAAAACATATCCTAGCTCCACTCTCCATTCTCTTGTTTCTATATTTTCAATATGAAATAAGAGAACCTCTAACCAGCAACCTGGCTAGCTAAGATTATCAAACAAGACCCTGCTGTCCTATTGTATTGCAGCCATTAATTATATTTCATTGATTGAGAAAATCAAGTGGATAATGCTTTAAACTACTGGGAACACTGTGTTTGGAATACACTGGGATTTATTTCTGTAACACGAAAATACAATCTACATTCAAATGTTAGTATAAGTACACAAACAAGGACTATGAAGTGAGAAGCTTCTTGTCTCAAGAGAATGGTAGGATTTTTTGACATTCTGTCATGAAATTCTGTCACTTTCATATATGCATCTTAGATAATAAAAACTATGTAATTTCTTTAAAATAAATGATTTACTGTCAGTTTATATCTAAGTAGTGCTTGTTTTATTTTAGGATGGCATATGGATTCAAGGCACACCTCTTAAACCTATCAATTTATTCATTGGGATTAATCCCTTTAACTCTTTTGATACTAAACACCCAGCGGCCACAACCTCTCAATGGTACCGATACTGTACTAAAACCCTTGGAATTAAAGGTAATATAACACATAAACACAATATATTGGCATTTTAACTTTATGTTAACTAAAATCCAAAAGAAAGCTCATGTAGACTTTTTAGAGATACAAAAATACAATCCATCTTAAAAAGGCCTTAATTTATTTTTTTTGGATAAGCTATTAATATTCATATATTATTTTACAATTTGGATACATTTAAAAAAAAATTTTTTTAATACTAAACTTTCAAAAATTAAATCATATATCAAAATGTCAATTATTAAAAAAAATGATCAATATAAAAGGTAAAATATTTTTCATAAAATTATCAAGTCATAAAAATGTATCCAAAAATATTAAACCATTTCCAAAAATGTTAAATTAAGGCCTAGGTTAGGATTCCCAAAAGCAATACTGATCAAAATAATGGAATTTAACATTTGTAACTCGAGACACAAGTGATATGGAAAGGTAAATGCGATTTTGTAAATAGCAGATGATGATTCTGAGAGTGATGATGATTGTGGGCAATTGTCAAGATAAGACAGTCAGGGTAGAGGTTAAGTAAACAGAATATAATCAGAGATCCATGTATAATTAAACATCATATAATAAGCCCAGTTAAAGTTTTTAAAGGCATAAAGATGTCAGCAGACCTGTATACATGTAGATTATAGCTGGTGGATATTAGTGAAGGCTATCTGAAATTTTGGAAATGTGATAAAAAAACTGAGTCTCCATGCAGTTCTGTGATAAATGAAGTAAAAAACAAATATGTAAAAAAAGAAAAAAGAAGAACTCACCCCTGCCTTTAGTATATGACCGTATCCTTCAGCCATATCCATGCACCTTGTTTGCAAACCGACATTTCAGCTGTATCGTCTACTCCTTGCAAAAGTGTAATTAAATCATCAGACTGACTAACTGTCCAATTCAAACACTGTCTGACCCAAGGTGTATGTATGTGGCAGAAAGATCATTTTGCATGCTAAAAGTAGGATTGAGATTTTTTGTCATTTTTGTCACATACACTAGTGTTTGGTGTGACAGCGCTCCTTTAAGCTTTGCATAGTAATCAGACTTTGTAAAATTGTGTCCGGTTGGGGTAAAGTAATTATTTTCTTTCTGTTTTTTTAATAAATGTTGCATTAAAACCTTGCTAAAGCTACATCTGATGTTCATCCTTAGTTGTAGCTTCAGTAATGTTTTCCCAATGTGGCATCCTCTATGGTGTGCCGTGCATTGTATCATATATACCATTATAGTAGACCCTTTATGTTGTGTGATTTGTTATTGTGCCAGGCTGTTCTCTTGTTACATATTAGCCCATGGCCCTTAAAGGAACATTCCAAGCACTATAACAATGCCATGGAAACTCCCCAATTTAAGTAGTCAAACCATGTGCTAGGGCACGAACCAGTGGTTATGGTGCTTGGAGTGTTGATTTAAGGGGTTGAGTTGATGTCACATTTAAAGTCAGTCAATCCTTAACGGTTAAGGGATTTTGAATTAAAGGTAATGTATATAGAATATCCTTCTCTTTAATCCTTCGTCCATGACCTATCTATGGGTTATTGACAAATTAAATAGCCCTTTACATGTGGATATATAAGTAATATCTAGATTCTTTTTTATAGGATACTAATTTCACAAAAGTTTGCATGGGCATCGTCTTTATCATGAGTATATTTGGAATAATAAAAGAACTAGTACAGATTGTTCAACAGGTAAGATGACTTTGATTTCGTTATAAGACCTACTGACTGCATAATCACTGGTAACAGAGCCCCCTATTTTTAAAGTGATACATATAATTTCTCCTAATACAATATATGAACCTTTCATTTTGTGCATGTTTGAGCCCAGTCACATTTCATCTCTTAACCTCATGTAATCAGAGTGCTCACTAATTGTTCTACTTGTCCATGTAAACCTCTGTAGTCACCAGTCCAAAATAAAATCATCAGCTGTTGATTAAAGGGATACTGTACTGCCAGGAATACAAAGCTGTATTCCTGGCACTACCAATCCCTCTGTCTCCTCCCTCCCTCGAGCCCCCCTTCCCCAGTAAATAAAGAGTTAAAAACCCTTTATTTAGTTACCTTATCCCAGCGCCGATGTCCCTCTGCGCCGGGTCGAAGCTTCGTCCCCTCCTCCGTCCCACGTGAGCGAGGTCTAAAGCGCATGCGCGGCAAATGCTGCGCGTGCATTAGACCTCCCCTTTGGAAAGAATTGAATCAATGCTTTTCCTATGGGGAAAATCTGACGCTGGAAGTCCTCATGCAGAGTGTGAGGACGTCCAGTGTCAGATAACAAACCGAAAGTCTATATACGATATATAAAAAATAGAAACCTCCAATAGTGTAGTAAGTACTATTACAGTCAGATAGATGCAAACATATTGTACTTATGTATGTAAAGCTTAGGTGGTATAATCCCCACCTAAGGATGTTGGAGATACCAGGAAGGAGGTAAGTAAGTAAGAAGGTAAATATATGAAAAGTTCAAAAGAGTTAACTCTGTGTTTCCATGTAAAGAGTTATTTACAAAGCTATATTCTGGGGCAAAGTTCTAAAGGTTACCATGGAAATCAATACAATGTTCTCTATTGGAACTGACACATTGAAAGTAATGCAATTAATAAATAGTATGCATGATTTGATACATACAGAGCAGGAATATAAAGAGACAATCAAGGTAAAATTATTTTGATGAAAACATTTTTTTTTCATGGTACTGTTGACCATTCCCTTCTTTCTCATGGAACTTTTGCTTGCCCAACAGTCTTCAAGACTATAGATGTGAATACGATCCAGCACTGTGTCCACCATAGTGGAACACCTGTTAGAATTTCATTGGGATTGTGCAATGACCACTGTGACCTTATTCAACCAGAGACTTCTGATTTTTTAATACATAACATGACTGTCTGTTCTGGATATCTGTATGCAATGCTTCCATTATATGCTATGCAATACAAACACTAATATTATACTTTTTCTCCTGTAATTCCAGAAAGCCAAGTACCTAATGGACAGCAGTAATATCATTGACTGGGCAATTCATGTTTCAAGTATTATTTTTGTATCTTCTTTGTGTAAGCCACATCTTTCCTTGGATTTTTTCCATTGGCAATTTGGTGCAATTGCAGTATTTGCATCGTGGGTTAATTTTTTGATTTATCTTCAAAGGTAAGGTGTTAATTTTTAACCGGATATCTAATGTATAAAACATTGCATACAGGAGGGTTATTTAAATGGTTCCCAGATGTTTTTCCTGAATATATATGCCTCTTCATGCTTTTGAGCAACCCATGAAAACATGTACCCTGTAATATAAAGCATTGCAATGCCATAGAAGAAGGTGTCACACATAAAAAGCATGAATTACCTAAAAAGAGAATTGAAGTGTATGGAAAACAGAACTGCTAATTATAGGCTGGAATAACTGATTTGGAAAAATAATATAAACTTTCATTACTTATTACTAGTGTGGTAGATATTTGTTAGATCAAATGTGACCAGCCATATGTTTGTTAGAAAATTGAAAACTTCCTTTAAGGAGAGTTTTAATTCCTCTCATGCAGAACCCAATTAGCAGCAAAAGGTGGTCCTGGTTCAAACAGGAGCTTTGACTCTGTCTCTGGGGGGGCCTCCAAAAGCTGTCAGGGAGAATAAAAAGTCTCCTTTCTCAACTAGCCTCCACTTCAGCACCTCAAAGGAACTTTATGGTCAGCAATTCTATTGGTTGCAGATCACTTTAAGAGCTCCCTCTCCGTACTGGCGCTTTACACTTCGTGTGAAGTCTTGAATCTCTACATAGCCATGTTGCAACTCTCCCTGTTTGGAGTAATTATTGAGGCTCAGCTGGCAGTGGACACAGCACGCAATGGAGATATTGAAACATGATAGACTATCATTTACCCAGTATGTCTATCTACATTGTGCTACATTGTAACTCAGGCCTTCTCATCATCTGAAACTAACTCACCAGAACAACTACAAATACGCTTATTGTGTTTGTACTGGTAAGTATAATCAGTCTCTCTAGGTTTTTTTGCTGTTAACACTGTTTCTTTTTTGAAAGAAAAGGCAGTGTTTTTTTTTGTAAATTTATTTTTTATTGGAGTGTTTCGAGTATTCATGCATGTCAAGTATATATTTAGCATATCTCACGTCGCGCAGGATCGTGAGCCCAAATGCATATTGGTGAGAGTCGCCTTTGTTGCAGGAGTGAGACATGACAACACATACAATAATGGTGGTTCGCATATTTACCCTCTGGGCAATAGCAGTAGGAGGTGTATGTGATTAACTCGGCACTCTGCATTTCTTACGAACTGGGGAGGGTACGGGGAGTGCGTATCCAGGGATAATCAACTTTGAAGTGAGATAATAATGGTACCCTAAAGATAGGGAGTGGAAGGGGGGGGAAACAAAATAAGGTGGGGGGGTATCTGCCTTTGGGTTTAGTGTGCCGTGGGCAAGCTCTGTTGAGGTTTAGTGTGCCCAACAATGCTCCATTGAGGTTGGGGTATCGAGATTCACAGTGTACAGGGCGTGTTAAGTGGCCACCGTGGTGGCTGAGTCCCACATATCCCAGGCTTCTTGCCAAAACATGTTACCCACTTGTGTTCTCCTTATCGCCCTTTCGAATTTGCCTGTTTGCGTGACATGTTCCGACAGCGCCGGAGTAGAGGTAGATAGCCACCTTCATGCTAGTAGCGTGAGTGCGGTTACCAGTATGTGGAAGATCAGATATGAAGTGTGTCTGACTTTTATATCTGGTAGTATTAATAGGAGGCAGCACTCTGGGGAGTTCGGCAGTTTCGTTCCGGTACATGTTTCTATTAATGAGAGAGTTTGTGCCCAGTAATGAGTTAAGCTAGGGCAGCGCCACCAAATGTGCAACATGGAGCCCCACTCAGCCTTGCATCTCCAGCAAGTGTCAGAGTAAGTGGGAGAGATTTTTGCGAGCCTCATTGTCACCATATACCACCGGTACATAATTTTTCTTAAGATTTCACTAAGGGCTGCGTTCAATGTGTTGCCTTTATGGGCTAGGAATTCTCTGAACCACTGGGCATCTGTTATTTTGTGACATATCAATCGGGAGAGTGTTTGTGTGCTATGTCGGCTGTGTGGGGACACCCTCCATTCAAGCTTTGCTAACCAGCTTTGTAGTTGGGAGTACGAGAAATGGGCTGTTTTTGACAATGTGAGGGTCTCACGTAAGGCCTGAAAAGGTATCAATTTAGTGTGGTTGCATAGTTGATGTAGGTAGTGTACTCCTGCTCGGGCCCAAAGTTGAAAATTAAAGTCGGGGATAAAACGAGCCACCATGCGCATAGGCGTAGCCAAGGATATCGGTGAGTAATGGCACAGATCGGTTTTGTGGCTGTCCCACACCTGTATTAGGATGGTTGTGGAAGGTAGCCTATGCAACAGAGATGGTCGGGATGATTTCGGAAGCCAGAACATCTCGGCCGCACTAAGAGCAGCCCAATGTTCCGCTATGTGTACCCATTGCGGCGGTTTTGGGCCCGCCAAGGCTATGGCGACATTGCTCAGGATTGCTGCCAGGTAATAATGCTTAATATTCGGTAGTCCTATGCCACCTTCATTAAGGGGTGCTTGTAACAATGGTGCTTTCACCCTAGGCCGCCTCCCGCTCCAGATAAACCTATTAATCACATTTTGTGCTGTGGTGAATAAAGATCCGGGGATCTTTAGGGGTAGGGTTCTAAAGACATATTGTAGCTTAGGTAGGATAGACATCTTTATGGCGGCCATTCTGCCTGTCCAGGATATGAATTTGCCTTGCCATAACACCATAAGGTCTGAGATGAATTTTAGAGTGAATAGGTAGTTCGAATGATACAGGCGGGTCAGATCTTTGGAAAAACTATCCCTAGGTAAGTAAGTGAGTCATGCCTTAAGTCATATGGGTAGTTCGCCTTAAGGAGTGTCTTCTGCTGACGCGGCAAGTGCATTGTCATGGCCTGGGCCTTAGAAATATTTAACTTGTAGTAGGAGCATTTGCTATAAGCGGTCAGGAGGTCGTGGAATATCGGCAATGAAGTGTGGGGTTGTGTGACGGTGACTAGGACATCGTCCGCAAACATGTTGAGTTTAAACTGCTTCGTCCCTAATTGTATTACCCTGATGTCCTAGTTGCTCTTAATTAGTTCTGCCAGAGGCTTTAGGACCAATATGTAAAGCAGGGGGGACAAAGGGCAGCCTTGCCTGGTCCTGTTTGTTATAGAGAAAGGGTCCGACAGGAAACCACCATTATAGACCCTAGCTGTGGGGGTGCTGTACAGGGCCTGAAATGCTGCTATAAACGTGGGCGGGGGGAGTTGTATTTATGCAAGGTCCTCCTCAGGCGATCAAATACTTTTTCCGTGCCTAGGGAGAGAATCACACTGCCCTGGTTTTGCTTGTGTATAGTGTAAAGTAAGTTTAGTGCTTTATGCGTTCCGTCTGTACGTTGCCGGCCGCTGACGAAGCCGACCTGGTCGGAGTGGATTAGACTGAGTATAGTTTGAAGCCTGTTCGCGAACAGCTTGGCAAAGATTTTGCATCCACATTGAGCAGGGGTATTGGACGGAAATTGGGGCATTTAGTTGGTGGTTTACCAGGCTTAGGGAGGGTTGCTATATTGGCTGCCAATCCTGGTAGGCTTTCTGAGCTTAAGGCGGATTGGAAGAAGGCAGCCATGTGTGGGACCAGGATACGGGAGAAGCGTTTGTAATAAAAAGTTTGGATAGCCGTCCGGTCCAGGGGCTTTATGTTGGGGGAGATGTTTGATGATGCGTTCGATTTCGTCCTGCCTGACAGGGACATTGAGAGAGTCAAATTGTGTTTGAGGGTAAAGACACTCAATCTAGAAAGTAATCTATGTCGGTGCATGACGGTTGGGGTATGGAAGTGTCAGTTTTAAGGTTGTATAGTCTGCCGTAAAATTCAGCAATTTTGTTACAGATGTCTTGGGGCCGGAGTATTTTCTGACCTGAATCAGTTAGAATATAGAGGATTGTCTGTCTTTAAGAGTGTCGGACAAAGCTCTGCTTGCTTTATTATTTAGGAAGTAATGTTTGGATCTTAATTTTTGGAGTGTGTGAGTTGTTTTGAGAGGTTGTATGTCATTGGTTTGTTTGGTCAGGGCTCTTATAGTCTTATCCAGGTTGTCGGCCCGTGATGCGTCTCTCAGGTTCCTGAGCAAAGTGAGTTTGTGGGTTTGGGATTGCATTTTGAGAAAGGAACCTTTGCTGATGAGGCCTGCCAAATGGAGGTGTATGATGTGTCTAGGGGGGTGTTACGTGCAAAGAAGTCACTTAATTCTTCCTGTAATGTGTCAGCGTAGGACGCGTCTTGGAGGAGCAAATCGTTTAAGCACCATGGGTTACTGCCTCTAAATTGGAAGTCATTGGCTAAAGTGATGAATAGGGGGGCGTGGTCAGACCATATGATGTCGCCATATGAGCTTTGGTGTACAGCTTTTAGTATAGTGCCCTGAATGAGGCCTATGTCAATTCTGGAGTGGGAGACATGCACCGCTGAATAGTGGGAGTATTGTCTATTTGAGGGGTGGTAGGTCCTCCACATATCGTAGAAGTTGTGTCTACACAATAGTTTTATAAGAGCTTGACAGGCCACTTTCACTCTCCTCTTCCTGGGTGCCCTAAGTGGTGCAGAGGAGTCAAGCGTTGGGTCTAGTATGTGGTTGAAGTCACCACAGAGCAGCAGGGTCCCTTTTTGTACGAGAGCCATCTTGTTGAGGACATGCTGTATAAAACCGCGTTGTCCCGAGTTGGGAACAAAGATATTGATTAGTGTATATAGCCTATCATTAAGTAGACAAACCAGTATGAGGTACCTGCCTTGTGGTCGGTAAGTTTAAGAAGTAATTCAAAGGCCACTGATTTATGGATGAATATGGAAACTCCCCTTGCTTTAGAGAGATAGGTGGCGTGGTGTTGGGTCGGATAGTGGGCCATACCAAATGAGGGTAGTTTTGCTTTGGTAAAGTGCGTTTCCTGTAAAAACACTATGTCTGCCTGTGCCTGCTTTGCTTTCTCAAGGAACATGCGCCGCTTGTGAGGTGTATTAAGACCTTTGACGTTATGTGAGTATATTCTCATAAAATAGGAGGCAGGTGAATGCTGATTTTTTTCCAGTGGACATGTCTATATAGGAGGAAGCAACTCTATGTGGGACAAGAATTCTTTGTGGTTGTGGGTGGGGTTGATGGGTAATACCTGTGTCGAGGCAGAGGCAGGGAATTGCACAGAAACTGAACCTTAAGTAGCCTCGGGAGTTGGAGTGGGGGTGATACCTTTCTCCACGAGGTGGAGGGACAGTGACCTGTGAGGTCTCTCAGCTGGAGTTGAGATGGGAAAAGCCGCTTGGGACATTGGTACAGTGGTTCCGTTGGGTAGGTGGCATATCGGGGAACCTGGTTAGTGCGTCTGAATTGGGCAGGTGCGGGTACCATATGTAAGGTAGTCAGGGGGGCTTATAAACTGAAAGAACAAAAGGAAAGTATATACAGCGATACCCATGTCAGTGGGTATGTTGCGGAAATGGATTCCATGGGGGGCATGGATGATGGCCTAGATAGGGTATGCCGGAGCAATATGTCAAATAACATGAACATTACATCTACGGCTTAACTGTACAACAAAAACACAGCCTGTCGACCACATTTAAGGCTATTAATGGTAACAATAGTATGATGCCAATAACATGCGTGTACACACCTTGTGAATTTCCTAGGCTTAGAACAGTAAACCTATAAGGGATCTTGTGTGTTGTTGTCCCTTAGCTGTTTTAAAAAATATATTTTTTATGATTTCTGTGTGTTGTAGGGGCTATAGCAGGGCAGGTGTGTGGGGCCTATCTTTGGGGTCATAGGCCGCATGCCGTAAAGGCGACATGTGTGCTCGTTGGGCAGCGGGGGGATAGTAGTGTGTGCTAGGAACGGCAATCATATGCAGATAGACATTGATAGTTGTACTAGGCTAACTATGTTTAAGAAAGATAATGCAAGTCTCTGATACTGCTCACGCTTAAGCTTTGCGTTTCTCCGGTGCCCTCTGCCAGTCCGATCTCAGCTTTCCAGGGTGGGACCTTGTCGGTGAAACAGAACCGGTCGATAGGTTCCATTGTTGGAGGATCCGGAGGCCATCCTCAGGGGACTTTGCGGTGGTGTAAGTCCCACTCCTGTTGATCAGGAGCTTGGTAGGGAAACCCCAGCGGTACACAATGTTGTTCTCGCATAGGACCTTTGTCGCCGACTGGTAGGTCTTCCTGGCCCGGAGTGTGACAGTAGACAGATCCAAAAAGATCTTGACAGAGGGATCAATCTTCCATTGCTGCTAGCTGTGCGTCATAGGCCTCCATCTTTGCTTCCATTTGTTGCAAGGAGTCTGCCATATAGTTATGGGCTTCCGCGTATTCACTCATGTTTCCCTCTGTGAGGTTCTAGTACCCAAGACCTGAATATCTTTACGCAGACTGTCCATGCCTGTTTGCTAAGTGGTGATGAGTTTGGCAGATAGAACATCCAGGGAGGATTGAAACATGCCGCGTGTCAGGGGGTCTATCTCTGTGGCGGGTTCAGGATCCTGTGTTGGGCTTGCGACAGCAGGCTCATCGGCGCCATCTTGGATTTCTAGCAGAGTGGCGTTTTATGCCGATTTTCCGGTTTGTCTGCTCGGTCTTGCTGGCGTTTGGACTTGCTCTGAGACATCATGGAGCAGTGAGTCTTGCAATTAGGTTTAGCCGTCAGAAAGCTAATATTCCATGTCCCGTGTTGCAGAGCTCTCACAGATGCATCCGATCAGCACAACTTCCCGAAAAGGCAGTGTTTACATTACAGCCTAGGGATTCCTCCAGTGGACACTCCTGAGATTGCTACTAGAGTTCTGTCCTAGGACAGTGCTGCACAGTGTGACTGACATTCAGTATCTCCACCCTCTACATTGAGACACTGAACTTTCCTCATAGAGATGCATTGATTTAATGCATCTCTATGACAAGATTCTGATTGGCCAGGGCTGTGTTTGGTTTGTGCTGGCTCTGCCACTGACCTCCTTCACGGTCTCAGCCAATTCAGTGCTTTCCTATTGGAAAGCATTGTGATTGGCTCTGATCAACACTTCTGTTATATTAAGATTTTACTATATTTAGGAGGGCAAGTAAGAGGGGGGAATAAGGGGGGCTAGATGGTACTTTTAACACAAGGGCCAGGAATACATATTTGTGTTCCTGACCCAATAGTGTTCCTTTATGTTCAAAGTCAACTTTAAACCGACTATTAGTCTAAACATTCTATTAGTCAATCGACCCCTTAGTACTACATGTTTGTGTGAAAAATATGAATTTGGTAAATACACTATAGTAATATTATGATGGTCACTGTTCATTTTGAATCATGTCTGTATTCTGGTTTGCTCTAAATGTATTCATTCATTGTAGTGAATAATAGGAATTTAATTCTCTTTTTATCTACAGGTTTGAGAGCTATGGAATTTACATTGTAATGTTCTGGGAGATATTGAGAACACTCTTGCGAATTGTTGTTTTGTTCTTTTTTCTACTTTTGGCATTTGGACTTAGTTTTTATGTCCTCCTCTATCCTCAGGTCAGTTTACTGTATGTATATCAGTTGTTTTATTGTCAATTTGTGGGTGTTAAAAGTATATATATTTCAGTTGATCGTCAGTAAAGTAAGAGTTGAGGAATTTTGTCCTCAATTTTACTATTGTTGGATAAGCTTTTACAATTCGTAAATATTTTTTGGATAATCGTTTAAAATTACTGTTTTTTTTCAACATATTAAAAAAATTTAAAAAATATTTTATATATATATAAAATATCAATACGTCAAAAATATCAAAAGTTACAAATTTTTTATATTTTCATAATATTAAATTGTTTTAAAAGTTTATCCAAAAATATTAAATCAGTTCAAAAGCTCATTCAAGAATATTAACTTGAGGCATTTATTATCTGTATTAAAACTTTGCATAATGAGATTTTAATGAGATGAATGGCTTTTAATGAAAATACAACCATTATTTAATTATATTAACTTATTATGGTAAAACATATAATTAAAATACATAATCTATACGGTGTAAAGGATATTAGAAAAACCAGTTTATATTATATTCACATGGTGTCCAATCATGTAAGGGGGAACCATATATCATTCATAAATATGACTGGAGGAATAGACACTACTATACTATGACTACTATGATGTATTATGTCCAAAATAAAATGTTTTGTAATTTGTTTTTTTATGTTTTATTTTTCTTTGTTTTTTAGACAACCTTCAGCACCCCTTACCTTTCACTGATGCAGGCGTTTACCATGATGCTGGGAGATATCAACTATCAAGATGCTTTTCTTCAGCCTATGCTTTCAGAGCAAATTGCATATCCGATCTTTACCTTTATACATGTCATCATATTCACTCTGCTGATTCCAATCCTACTGATGAATTTGCTTGTAAGTTACACTGAGCTTGCTCAGCCACAAGACTACGTTCATAAAGCATTGCCACTGTCTGGTATGAACAGACAAATCAGACAAATCAGGTTTTATTTTTTCAGAAAATAATTTTTGTTAGGGAAACCAGAATTTCAACAGAATGCCATTTTAGCTCGAAATGAAATCATAAGAACAAATAGGCACGAAAATGCACCAATCAGTGTTCTGCTAAATATTTACATAGTATATAAAATCATATATGTTTTTGCAGTACACTGATAGGAGCATAATTCCGTCAGTTGGGTCACAGATCAAGTGAGAAAAAGTAACCAATAGAGGGATAAGCAGGAGGAGCAATAAATTAAATTATAATATTATATATTTATTAAAAATATAATATATAAATGCAGTTTTTTTTAAATGCTCTTGTTTTTGTTTTTTTCCTCCGTTGATCACTTCTCACTTGATCTATGAATAACATTTAACATTTAGTGACTAGTTGTCAGTCATCTTTTTTTCCCCCCCAATCAATCATCTATGTTTTGGTGCCACATTTTGAATTTAGAATTACGATCCCCAAACCGAACAGGTTTTGCATTGTGCTGTGTGGTTGGCCTGTGACTTGGGTACATTTTGGCTCAGAGTTCGGGAATTTGGCCAATCACCTGATTTACCAAATCACATGAAATGAATCTCCAAGTCTACTATTAGCCCATTGTCAGATTTCTCGTAAAATTACATAGTAATGTTTTTTATTAACACACTATTATGGCAGCTGTAATTTTACAAGACCTGGGTATCTATAGTTAGCCCTGCTATGATCTAGTTCATAGTAATATAGAAACTAGTTATTTCCTTTCCTCCCTTGTATGCCAATGATTATACTCCTCCATTTGCACCTTGCCTTGATTTATGTTTATCTTCCTTGAGCTACATCACAATACCTGGGGGACACCATTTTGTTTTCCTATGACCACAATATCTGCAGTTTGCACTTCTGTGGGAATTTTTTTAATGATGGGTTGTGGGTAAATTAGTTTGGCAAATTAAAAGAAGAATTAAAAAAAACACTGTGTGCACGATAACCATTTAATCTCATTGAATGGTTATAATTCTTGGTGTCCTGGCACTGTACCTCACTTCAGTGTTAAACCGTTTTCTAGAAGATTAACCTGCGTGACTCTGACCATGCCTCACCACTGGATGTATGGCCAAGGCAGAGATTACGTGTTTCCTTAGTAACACCAGTTCATGCCAGCAATGTGTAGCTTCGAAATCTGGAAAGTGATCGGCTAATACTCTCAGTCCATTGCTGCCCAGGCTAATGCAGCACAGAGTTGATAGGCTGCTGGGGACTCTCATTTAGGATTAAATGATTAAACACATTTTAATATTGAATCGAGTGATGATGCCAGGAGACTCCAGACACTATAACCACTCTTTAACCTCTGCATATTGTTAAATATTACACCACCACAGGAAAACGTAGTCCCTACTTTATATTATGTAAAAAAATAAAACAAAAAAAGCAAGGGGAGAAAGAGGGACCAAAAAGTGTTAAATTAAAAGCAAAACCTGCAAAGCAATAGTGCTGCTTTACTTACACTGTCATGCAAAAAAAAGTACGTCAGAAGTTGCCAGTATATTGCATATAATACAGCTTCCAGACTTTTGACTATTGCTTTAAATAAGTTTGTCCCACTCGTCTAAAAAAGATCAGTCCCTTCTTATAGTTTGTCACATATTATACCTGCAGTAGATGTGCATCTTGTGAACTGAAATCATGTTTAAAGGGACACTATAGTGACCAAAACCGGGCAGCAACACTGTATTTTTAAAGTTTGTATTCCTGACACTATAGTGTTCCTTTAACTGAGCTGCAAAAACAAATCTGAAAGTAACCCGCTTTTGTTGTGTGAAATTGTAGATTGGTCTGGCTGTTGGTGATATTGCAGAAGTACAACGCAATGCAGCGCTGAAAAGGATTGCAATGCAGGTGATTTAATGTAATTCATATAATGATTTCTGTCTGTTTGGGGTCGCATCATTGAAAAAGGTTAGTTAATAAGAATAACATCACTATAGTACAATGTTAAAGGACACTGAACAAGAATCCATCGAGATCTCAGATTATGAAGTAAAAGGAAAACTATTTGTCCTCTTTACTCAAGAATGCACTCAACATAACTACAGTTGTTATTAAAATTATTAAACCCCCATTGAAAATCAGATTTATTGTTAACATTTACAGACTTTCAGCTGTTTGCAATTAAAATAGCTTTAAGTGCTTTCTAAAAATTTTACTGAAAATGCAACTTATAATGACTTTTTCAGTCTCAAAATCATTCAACCCCTCTCATGGCAAGAATCTTTAGTTCTTAGTAGAGCACCCTTCTGCCATTATGACCTGCTGCAAACAAGATCCATAGCCAGACACCAGCTTCTGGCAGTTTTCTTGAGGAATCTTAGCCCATTGCTCATGCGCAATGGCCTCCATTTCAGTAATATTCTTGGGTTTCCGTGCTGCAACCGCCTTCTTCAAATCCCACCAGAGATTTTATATGGGGTTTAAGTCATGTGACTCTGATGGCCACTGTAGAATTTTCCAGGACTTCTTCTGCAGCCAAGCCTTGGTAGAATTTGAGGTATGCTTGGGATTATTGTCTTGTTGGAAGATCCAATAATGCCCATGCTTCAGCTTCCTGACAGACGGCGTGACATTTTCTACTAGTATTTCCTGATACTTCAATGAATCCATCTTGCCTTCCACACACTGCAGGTTTCCAGTGTCAGAGGATGCAAGGCAGCCCCAGAGAATCACCGAGCCACCGACATGCTTAACTGTAGGCAGAATGTTCTTTTTAGGCAACACCTGTTTTGCATATTTGTGTTGCTGTGAGTGATTCTATTCAGGGGGTTGAATAATTTTGAGACCGGAGTTATTATAAGTTGCATTTTCGGTTGAATTTGGGGAAACCACTTAAAGCATTTGTTGTGTTTTAGCTTTTTCAATGGCTTTTGTTTGATTTGTTAATTGCAAACAGCTGAAATTCTGTAATTTTGACAATAAATCAGATTTTAAATGAGGGATGAATAATATTGAACTGTAAGTTGTAAATGGACTGCAGATCTGCAAATTTCAAAGAAAATACTTGAATTGCTCCCAGTATTGCTATCCAGATAATTAATCAATGCAATATATGAGTCAATGTACTCATCTGGTTCAGGGCTAACAATGTAGAAGAGAAATAGTCCAAATGTTGCACAAAGAATAGTTTTCTGATGTTAAACATAGGCAGTAGTTTGAGGTTAAATAATTGAGTAGGTGAAATACTGCTCTCCTGCAACACATTTAGTAAATTAAATAATGTGAATGAGGAAATGAGAACTAAGTATAGGTGTAGTAAGTAGACATGTTAAAAAATTAGGGATAAGAACACACAAGAAGGATTTGGAAATTGTTATAGACAACAAATTAGGCAACAATATGCAATGTCAATTGGCAGTTGCTAAGGCCAGTAAGCTATTGTCATGTATAAACAGGGGCAGGGCTGGTGCAAGGATTTTTGGGTACATAGGCGAAGATGCATTTTTCCGCCCTCCCGCTCCCCTCCTCTTAAAATAACATCTTCACCTATGTGCTTCTTAACCAGCCCCTCTCTCCTCCCCGTCCATTAGTGGACCCCTCCCTTCCCTGTCCCTTAGTGTTCCTCTCCCCTCTCCTCCCCTCCCCCCTCTTTTCCCTGTCCCTTGGTGTTTCTCGCCCCTCCCTGTCCCTTGGTGCACCCCTCACCCCCTTAGTGGTCACACTCCCCTTCCTGGTGTGCCTCCTACCTCTCTTGTAGCGTTGCCGAGCGGAGCAGATCCTCTACAGGAGCTTCAGTTTTCTGTACCTGGCTGGACTGACAGGAAGTGCTCTCTCAGTGAGCACCTCCTATCACTCTGGCACTGCTGTGCGGCTGTGTTCTAATCAGATGCGGCGAGGGAGCGCTAACCTCTCTTCTCTGCTCCCTCGTGGGCTGGGGTCCAGGAGGGAGCGCTTCCCTCCTGCCGGTCACTGAAATCTTGCACCCCCAGAGCCGGTGCGCCCTAAGGCGGCCGCCTGTGCCGCCTTATGGACGTGCCTGCCCTGTACAGGGGTATAATTCTCGAGATGAATGATTGCCTCTTTATAAATCACTGGTAAGACCACATCTTGAATATGCAGTGCAATTTTGGGCACCTGTTCTAAAGAAGGTTATTTGGCACTAGAAAAAGTGAAGAGGTGTGCTACTAATACTTGCAAAAATACACTATACTGGGGTATCATTTTTAATTAGTGGGGTAATAGCTTCTTGATCCAAGGAAATATCTGACCTATATTCTGGTGTCAAGAAAGTTCTTTTTCCCTTTTTTGTTGCAAGTTTGGAAGCACTTGAGACGGTGTTTGTTGCTTTCTTTTGAATCAACAACAAAAACAAATGTGAGAAAGGCTGAACTTGATGGACGCATGTTTCTTTTCAGCTTTGATTGTCATACAAATCGATTCCAAACTTTGGTTAGTTATAAATAAACCAAATTCCCCCCCAAACAAAATCCTTTATTGGGTATGGAATGAAAGGATTTTAATTCGCACAATTATAAACTAGCTGAGTTTCGAAATCAATACGCTTCAAGATCAGCAGGCATTTTATTCTGTTGAATTACTTAAGACAAATTTTTGCATATATTATTATTCATAAAACACCAACATATTCTGTAGCATGTAAAAGCAGCATAACAGCAAACAATATACAGATAAATAAAGTAGAAATAAACAATAGGTGATTAAAGGCCCTGCTCAAACATGCATCACTGGGGCCCATTTGTTTTTAATTTAAACATGATTTACCAAACTAATCTATCTAATGCATATATATTAGGTGAGCCTACATACAAATTTAGAGAAGAAGCTTCCATACTGGTTCCTGAAGCGAGTGGATCAGATTACAATGATAGTGTACCCCAACAGACCAAGAATCTGGGGAGTTGCAATCAATTCAGTAAGTACGATCATCTGTATATCCATATTGTCTTAATTTGATCACTGTTCGGTAACAATAAGCAAAAAGTTGTATCTTTAAAGTCAAACAAGGAGAGACGGTCAAATATCTATATAAAATGTAATGTGCCTTGCTTATTTTATCTAATATTGATGCAAAAAGGAATGCATTTAACCCCTTAAGGACCAAACTTCTGGAATAAAAGGTAATCATGACATGTCACACATGTCATGTGTCCTTAAGGGGTTAAAGATGCACTTTAAGCACAATAACCATTACAGCCCATCATAGTTTTTTTAATGGTAGTAGTCCACTGGTGTCATTCTTATGGTTCAGCATCAAATCCTTTTCATGAAGTTTGGCAAAAAAGAGGGTTCCCCAGGCCACCACGGCCAGGCTCCTCACTTGCCATATTACTAATATAGAATATAAACCAGCCAGGTCATAGAAACATAGAAACATAGAATGTGACGGCAGATAAGAACCATTCGGCCGATCTAGTCTGCCCAATTTTCTAAATACTTTCATTATGTTGGAAAGCAGTGGAAGGCTGAGAATGTCATCAGTCAATGAGATAGATGTAATTAAAAATGCCACAGTTTGTTTTATGGTAATATATTCTGACACATTTATTGTGTAACTTTCAAAACCAAAGCTAGATTTTGAATCAAGGAAGCCTAGCTGAGTGTAAGCTGAATTAAATAGCGGCACCTTCATAAGTAATTGTACAAATATATAGTCATATATTCTTACTGTAAAGAAGGTAGTATGGAGGGCACATAGAACTGAGGAATGTAAAAACATAAACCAATCCATTGGCACATGTCTCTGTTGATGGCAGTTATATTATCCAATGTTCTGTGTCCCGAACATTGGAAGCTGGGAAGCTTTAGTCTGGTGAGTGAGGCCCGTATGCATTCATCTTTGCATGTCTAAACATTATACATATGTCTTCTTCTTGTAGAATACAATAGGCTACATGTAGAAAATAAATAAATTGAGGTACATTGAGTGTTTTGAATATCGAATAAACATTGATATTTGTATTTGTTTTCTTGCAGCCCATACTTGGTTATTTTTTGCGATGTGATGGCTTTAAAGCCGAAATGCCAAGTGTTGACCTAACAATGGAATTGGAACTTTGGAAGCAAAAAAACAGGTGTGTATTTGGTCTCTCTTTCTGTATTTATTTTGATGTCGTTTTTTTTTCTTTTTTCTTACTAGCAGTGTTATTTACTAACATCATTTAGGGTTGAAGTAGCTGAAATGGAAAAAAAATTCTAAGTCAGCTATGGTTCCAGATGGGCTACTTTGGCTTTACATTTGAAATTCACTTTGAATTCTCATTTTAGTAAATTACCCTGTAAGTTAATATTAAAATAATTTTGAAACAGTTGAAACCATTCAGCAAGTTCAAAGATGCACTATATCTACAACTCAGCTCAGCTCTGCTCATTGCCCATTTTACCTTAATCTGGCCATTTTATTTATTTATTTATTTTTGTGCATTTTTGGAGAAGCAGAGTAATTTAATTCCACTCATCTGATTTTCAGTTTGGTCCAATATTTGGATTTTATTTCACTACTTTTTCTGAACACCTCATATTCAAGCCAAGATTATGTAATAACTCATCGTTTGGGAATAAACCCATGGTAATATTGTTTTGCTCTTCAACAAGATGTTGGTAGTGCAGCTGGTATTTTATAACAAAGCGAAATATTTAGTAATACATACAGAGCAATTACTCCACAGATAAAGTACAAACTATTTATATAAAAGCTGAATATAGTCAGTGTGATGGTAGGTAGTAAATTTATATAGGATAAAGTAAAGAGACACTTCATGCAACATACCCTCAACAGTCTGTCCTGTTGTCCCATGGTGAGATGTCATACTATTTTTGCCCATTTGACAGCCTACCTGTGTCATACCTATGACATCACTCCCTGAATTTGATCTTCCCCAGCTGTAAAATTCACTTTGGTGTATAGTGCATAGAAGGGCCATGCAAGATGTGCCCATGGGCTGAGAACAGCATCAACTGAGTGCTCTAAGCCAATGAGTATGGCCCTTCTTCTTTGCAAAGTCCTGCACTGGCTAAAATGGTTGATTTGTCAATTACTTGATATCTTGACGTGGGTGGTGCAATGGTACTCCTGGTATTAAACCCACTGCATCAAGTTGTAGTGAATATAGTGATTGGAGTGTTCCTTTAAGCATACATCCAAGTTAATTGAATAAAATGTTTTCAATATAGCACTCCATGTAGCATGTTTTTACACTTGTTAAATGTGTACTTTGCCGTGTTTTTTACCTGACTGTAATAATATGTTTGTAGGCTGAAGGATGTGTCCACCATCATGCAGAAACAGCATGAACTCATTAAGCTGATAATACAGAAAATGGAAATTGTATCAGAGGCTGAAGATGAAGATAATCATGATCTCTTTCAAAGCAAATGCACAAAGAAACAGAAACTTGACCGCAAAGAAAGCAAATGGGATTGTGTGGTAAAAGCTGTAAAATATAAAGGTGTTTGATTTACAGAAGCTGCTTGGCAGTGTGTGTGAGTCTTGTAAAATATTAATATGCTGGGTTACTAATTGCATCTCATCTATTTTCCTGATTTTGTTGCATTACTGCAATATTCTGCAGAGAATACACAGCTTTCGTAAAGGGAAAAATGACGAATATGCTAGTTGCTCTGCCACTGTGAACATAAATGTTGTGAAAACAAATATATATGAAACTGACCCTACCTTACCAGAATATACTGCAGTCACAAGAAGGATTCTCAGGATGCTGTGGAAGCCATGTAGTTCTGGTGCTAGATCTCACGTCAGGAGTCCTTCCACGAGGCTGCTGCATAAAATAACAAATAAAGTATTTTTAAATATGATTTTTCACTACAGCTTGTTGAAAAAGAAACTGCAATGAATGAATAAAGTCATCCCCCCGCCCCCGCACCTCCTGTGCGACATTCAAAGGGTTAAATCCTATAAACACTTACCTGATTCCAGCGCTGAGGTCCCTCCGACGTCAGCCCGATGGGGAACCAAATGGGCATACACGACAAGCTCCTCACGCACGTTATGCCATCCTCATAGCAAAGCATTGAATTAATGGGGTTTGCAAGACCCTGGTCATCCTCATGCAAAGCCACTAGAGGCAGTCTTAACCTTGTATTGTAAACATTGGAGTTTCTCTAAAACTGCAATGTTTTCCGCTATCAGGTTAAGGGGGCAGGGACATTGCACCCAGGCCACTTCAATGAGCTGAAGTGGTTTTGGTGCCTACAGTGTCCCTTTAAAATTTGTAGTGGCCTCTTTAAAGATGGTTACCCATATATGTCCCACTTGGAATGTAACTTCTCTTATGTTATTTGTTGGCTCGCCTGTGGGTGAAGATCAAAGTATTTAAGAAGCAGCTTTGCTTTCTTGAATAATTTCTGTATTCACTCTGTCTTCTGCGTGTTCGACTAAACTGGTTGATCTTTATTCCAAAACATAAAGTTTCCAGTTAGTCTCTCTTCTCATGATCTGAAATCTCTACATTCACTCCCAGTATATTCCATACTGTCTCTTTGTAACACTTTGTAAAGCCTTACCTCCTTGACAAACAAAGATTGTAATTTTTAATTATGTTTTCAATATAAAAGTTTAAATGTAATGAATACTTTTTTCAGTGCGTCTCTGGTGTACCCTTGTTCTCTATGGTGGCCATCTTTATATCCTCATTGGTCTAGTCTATGTGACCAAAAACTATACATTTAATTAGCAGCCGGTGTGCGTTCACAAATACTGACATTGTGCGCAAGGGCCATGCACCTCAAAAATGCACTCTAAGACAGTTTAATTTCTTCAAATGGTCCATAGTGCATAGACAGTCATCTGCATGGAGCAAAGGTAAGCCAAAGAGTGCACTGAAAAGCGATAATAATTGCTGTGGTCGGCATAGATCTCTACAAAATATGAAATCACACTGTATTACATGTAATCTTTTATTTTTAATAATAATGAGAAACGATAATAATCTACTTTCATTTATGTTGCTCTAATATCAGTTACGGATTATTGTTTGCTCACTTTGTGGGTTAACATTTTTCTTAAGTTATCCTTATTATATTTTCCGTAAATAAATGTATATTTCGTTTGTTATTGTCACATGAGTGTTTTCTTACTCTAGTGCAGTATCATAAGAACTCTGATTTATGTAGTTCAAATCAATGCTATCAATCTGTTTAGAGACATCTTGCATACTAATATTTATAGTGAAATGTGAAATAAATGCAAAGCATTTTGTTAATACATGTTTATATATCACTAATATAACTAAATGGGGTAACCCTATTATTATTTATCTTGTACAGAACAAACTTACTCAAGGAATAAAATAATTGTGATGAAAAACAGTGTCAAATACAAATAAATTCATTTCTGGCAATTGTGGTGCATAGAGCCTGTGTATCTATAATCTTTTATTATTCTTAAAATTATTTACAAATCTATCATATCTGGATGTAATTACATTCATCTAATAATACACTGAAATCCAGGCTCATTGTCGTGGTTATGGTCAAGGCTGGATTTACATATCCGGTACCTATAGGCACAGAGTTATAAGGTAAATGAATGTAATAAAAGGATTTACTGGACATAAAATATCTATCTATCTATCTATCTATCTATCTATCTCTCAGGGTCAAAGATAATGTTAGAAGTGGTTAGGGTAAAGGGAGGTTTAAAAATACAGAAACAAGTGCAATATATAGTGGCGCTCAAAGCATGCAGCTAGTAATCACTTGTGGAGCCAATCACGACAATTCCACCAGATATAGATACAACGAAACACAAGATAAAGTGATCATCAGCACAAAGTAATAAGATATGTGTGTGTAAAATCTATTACACCCACACTAGTGATATATCCTAGTTAAGTGGTAGAGAATAATAAATAAATATACCCCAGAGGGATTCTTGCAATTATGTTCTTATACATAAAAGGAGGAAAAAAGAGAAAAACTCATAGGGCAACACAATGATTCATATAATTTATATCCAATGAGTATCCTCATGAATTTACACTCACATTTTATTGAGCCTGTTGGAATAACTAGCTCAAGTATATCAGCTTAGGAGTGTAATGGATGGATTTCAATCCAGATAGGGTTGAGCTTGATCATGGAAAGTTACTGGAGTGCCACACAGTCTCTCTTCACAAGCACTACACGTTTCAACCCCAGTTGGGTCTTTCTCAGCTGCACCTGAGGAAGACCCAAGTGGGGTCGAAACGCGTAGTGCTTGTGTGGAGAGACTGTGTTTTAAGAGTTGTTACAGTTGTGGCATAAATTATTTTTAGGATTATTGCATTTAGGGATAGAGTAGGATACATTTAATATTGGGTTACAGGGGGTGTTTATTTTTTAAGAAGTGTTAAACCTAGGATTACAGTAAAGAGTTTTTTTTAGATTTTGGCTTTGAGTGCTTAAAGCATATCACTGTTTAACTGTGCCAAGGTTTGCTTATGTATAACATTAAAAAAAAACAACAACATGATTTTGCAATCACTCTTCTATGATTGATAGCAGAGCAGCAGTAGCTGTTATACAGTGTGCATCACTCACTGATGTCCCAGCTACCCCTGCAAGGCACTTCCTGTGTGACAGGCTGCCAGGGGTCACATGCCTTCCGCTTCCTGTCCAGCCTTATACACAGACACTGGAGAGCTGGGACAGAACTAAGTTTTACTCCTCTAAATCTGTTTCCAGAGCTCTACTATCTGGACTACAGAGGACACTGTCCAAGGCCCATTCTACTTATCATCCCACCAGCTCACTTAAGTTCCAAAAAAGGCACATTATAAGTGTTGCAAACAGGTGTCTCCTAGTGGACATGCAACTGTAGGCAGTTACCTTCTCTGCCTATTTGGAAATCTGGCCTTGGTAATTGTGCTGTGAGTCATTGTGTATCATCCATTATTAGTCCAGCACTTTCAGACCATTATCGACATACAGTGTTGATGAATTCATACAGATAATGCAAAAGTGTAATTTATGTATCTATGCAGTTACAGAGTGTAGAGACATATAGTCAATCTGTTTAAAAATGAAAACCAGTGTTATTGGCGTACAATGGTGTGAAAACTGGCATACAATACCTATAGAATCAAAAAGCTATAACCATAAAATGAGCTTTACCAGTTATGGATGTCTGAAAGTGCATAGATTTCCTCTATATTTTTTTTAACCTAATAATATATTTTTTATTGTTTTTGTTAAGATTTTTTATGGACACTGTATAGCCCCACTATTGTGTTCATATATCCCCTATTTTCCTACTTTACCATAGACATTTTGAAAAAGTAAATTAAACATTTTTGGCAAAAACACATGTCTAATTTTGTTTAGTTTTTTTTTAATTACATCAACTAAATAATAAAATAAAATTGAATCAATATTGTAATCTCTAAATAGAACACTAGGTGGCAGTGTGAAATACAAGTCATATAGAAGTCCTCTAACATTGCACCTGTCATGCCTAAATGAATTGGGCCTAATACAATGTAGCCAATCGCGGGTATCTGTAGTTTTTCAACTTTTTCTAAGTCACTTAATGGTTTGGATCGATTTAATTCCAGCAATTAAATGGTTTTTTTTTTTGGAGGCAGAAGAATATTGGTTCTCACATCAAACCTGGAGTCTATCTTTTACATTGAAAATACAGACTTTGGCAATTCAATTTACATTCAATGGGCGCACATCACACGTTTAATTGGCCTATCAGATTTGACAGCTAAAAGCTGTTGATAAATCTTTTTTTTATTATTTGGCCACTGCCAGCATTACTAGCTAGCAGGCAAATCATTTTAAAACGCCTATAGCCTACTTTAGTATAAGGCAGGGGTGCCCAAAAGGTAAATCCCCAGATTTTGTAGAACTACACCTCCTATTATGCTTTCCATGCCTTTATAATGACAAAATATAATGGAAGCTGTAGTTTTTTATACATCTGGGATCTACCTTTGGGCACCCCTGGTATAAGGGAAGTTTAAAACCTCCCTCATGCCCCCACCTGCCATTGCCAATGTACGGCATGTCCACTCTGTCACAAAAGCCTAGTGGTTGGGCAGTTGCTAATAACATATTGGGGAACCTGGTATTGTGATGAATATAGCATAGAGGGACTGTGATGAGTAATACCATTGGTTTTTAATAGCTTGTATGACACCTTTTTGTACACAATTAGCATTTAAGAGTCTTGTTTTATCATATTGCTCTATTCTTCTTCTAAGAGGAGATTTCCTTCCACTTTGACATAAAGGGAGTTACTATGGAATATTGATTCTGAAGTAACATGCAGCATAGTAGCAATATTCCTCTTTCTGGTGGTGCAGCACCACGTCGCAAAGGCTGAAGTGAGAATTCAACGAGAAATTCAAATTTAGGGCCAAAATGGAAAAATTACCTAAGTCAGCCTTTCCATTCAGCTAGTCTGGCTTTAAATTTAAAAAATCACTTTGAATTCTCACTTTAGTAAATAACCTTGTTAAACTGTGTAAGATGATAAACCACACAAGTAATATTATGGCGCTGAATTATAAGACAACAATATTTACTAATAAGCAGCACTATATATAGTGAAAAAAGCTCAATCACCTATATTAAGACAATGTAAAAATAAAGTGTGCTGTGCCCTTAAGACTCAAAGTAATTTTAAATAGTGAAAATAATTTGTGCAATGCTGTGCAGCTAAAGTGATCAAGTGCATCAATGTGCAACACACTTAAATATATAAATATACAAAATGTGCAAACCAAAATATTTCTTTGTGCAACAAATTTTGTGCAAAAAGACAATACTTAGCTTTCCCAATTATGGAATTTGCTTTAAAACTTCTGTCAGCAATCCAATATGTGTCTCAAAGAGAGAAGGGAAATACACAATCATAGGGTAATATGTTAATAAATAAATGTAAAGAAAATATGAATCAAAAACACTCACAAGGGTAGAGCAATCAAGTCTGCTCTAAACTTTATTGGCTTCCTTTGCAATAATATAAGCTGGAAACTGTGGTGAAGTCAAATCCTTTATTGCTTCTTTAAAAATCGCTATAACAGGCAGGTAAGTCCCTATTTATCTGTTCTCCTCCATATGATTGGTGCTGGTCTGTGCTGTCTCTATTTCGGCGCCGGCTATACAGAGTCTCTGTGTACCGAAAGACTTCCTGATTCCAAACACTTCCGGGAGACGGGGCTTAATGGCCGGTTAGCGTAATGACGTCAGCGCGCGATGACGCGTTTCGCCGAGGGGTTCGGCTTCATCAAATCAGCTCATTACACACCACAGTCCCATTATAAGTCCTAAAAAGGGGCGTGTTCGCCCAAATAAGTCCGCGAAAATGGCTTGCTGATAGGTCAATGTCTGAATAGCTTCTTTCTTAGACACTGAGTATATTAACCAGAGGAAGATCTACTAAACAAATGTTAGGCATAATATAAAGTTACAATCCATATCTTCATAGAAATACAAATCTTTATAAAAAATACATACCAGTATAACAACTATAAACATAGTATAATAAACAAACATATTCACATTTGAATTTTGAAATATAATATAAACAACTAATTAAAAACAGAGGAATACAAAAAAAAAAAATTCCTAAAAATTTCTGGAAAAGAAAAAGATATTATGCATAGTGTTGAAGTTTAAAATTATTCTCACATATTATAAAAATGAAAAAGATCAAATTCTATATTTAACCCATATAGTTCCAATGTTTTTAGCCTATGTACCCATTTCATTTCTTCTCTTCCTATTTTAGAAATGTGGTCTCCTCCTCTAAAAGATTTATTTACTGTTTCTATCAGGGCCGGACTGGCCCACCGGGATACCGGGAAATTTCCCGGTGGGCCGCGGCACCTGGGGCCGGTCTGACAGCTCCTGTGATCCCGGCGGCCGTGTGTGAGCTGTGTGGCCGCACAGAGCCCCATGGGAGCAGGGGGAGCCAGGCGGCCGGCTCACACATGGCCGCCCGGGATCATTTAAAAAAAAAAAATTGCGGCGGGGGCGGAGCTTACTGTGCGGTGGGGGCGGGGCTTGGCGTGCGGCGGGGGCGGAGCTTACTATGCGGCAGGGCCCGGCTAATTGCAGCATGGGAAGCAGGAAGGAGTCCCTGCTTCCCCAACAACAAGCCTCCAGGAACTCCAAGCAGGAGGGAAGAAGGAGGTCAGTGTGTCTGTGTGTGACTGCCTGTGAGTGTCTGTGTGTGTGTGTGACTGCCTGTGAGTGTCTGTGTGTGTGTGACTGCCTGTGAGTGTGTGACTGTGACTGTCTGTCTGTGTGTGTGTGTGACTGTCTGTGTGTGTGTGACTGTGACTGTCTGTGTGTGTGGGACTGTGTGTGTGTGACTGTGTGTGTGTGTGTCTGTGTGTGTGACTGTCTGTGACTGTCTGTGTGTGTGTGACTGTGACTGTGTGTGTGTGTGACTGTGACTGTCTGTGTGACTGTGTGTGTGTGTGACTGTCTGTGTGTGTGACTGTCTGTGACTGTCTGTGTGTGCGTGGGACTGTGTGTGTGACTGCCTGTGTGTGTGTGACTGAGTGTGTGTCTGTCTGCTTGTGTATGTTACTGTCTGTGTGTGAATGTCTGTGTGTCTGTCTGTGTGTGTGACTGTGTGACTGTGTGTGTGTGTGTGACTGTGTGTGTGTAACTGTCTGCCTGTGTGTGTGTGTGTGGCTGTCTGCCTGTCTGTATGTGTGGATGTTTGCCTTGGTGCCAGTGACTGTCTGCTTCTGTGTGTGTGTGTGCGCATCTTTTAGTGAGGGAGCCTCTGTGTGTGTGTGCCTGCTAGTGAGTTTGTGTGTGTGTGCCTGCTAGTGAGTGAGCTTGTATGTGTGTCAGTGAGCTTGTCTGTAGGGATCATATGTGTGTGTTAGTGAGCTCTTGTCTGTAAGGAGTATGGGTGTGATCGTGGGCTTGTCTGTAGTGAGCGTGTGTGTCAGTGAGCTTGTCTGTAGTGAGCGTGTGTGTCAGTGAGCGTGTGTGTCAGTGAGCGTGTGTGTCAGTGAGCGTGTGTGTCAGTGAGCTTGTCTGTAGTGACCATATGTGTCAGTGAGCTTGTCTGTAGTGAGCGCGTGTGTCAGTGAGTTTGTCTGTAGTGACCATATGTGTCAGTGAGCTTGTCTGTAGTGAGCGTGTGTGTCAGTGAGCTTGTCTGTAGTGAGCATGTGTGTGTCAGTGAGCTTGTCTGTAATGAATCTGTGTTAGTGAGCTCTTCTGTAGGGAGCATGTGTGTGTCAATGGGCTTGTCTGTAGGGAGAGTGTGTGCGCATCAGTGAGCTTGTCTGTAGTGAGTGTGTGTGTGTGAAACAGTGAGCTTGTCTGTAGTAAGCTTGTGTGTGTATCAGTGTTTGTCTGTACTAAATTTGTGTGTCTGCCAGTAACCTTCCCTGTGTGTGTCATTGAGATTGTCTGTCAATGAGCCTATTTGTGTGCATCAGTAAGATTGTCTGTGTCTATGTGTGAGTATGCTTTA